ATATATAACATTTATTAGTATTTTTACTTTTATTTTTATATCTTTTTTTATATATTATTTTTAACTCTTTCTTCCTTGGTGATTTTTTTTCTACTTTAATGTGCTTTCTAAGCGACCATTTAATGAGTTTTGGGCCAATGGATCTTAACCCAATTAAGTTTAGGTCATTAAGTATGGAAATACTTATTGGGCTTATTACTCGGTCAACTTAGGCTTTATAAGATAGAATCACCTTGAATTTAAGAGTTTTTTTCTTTTGGTGCCCCTTTTTCGCACTCTTCTTTTGTAAATTTTTTTTAATGTATATGTATATATATTCTGAAAAATATGTAAGTCAAGCCACTTTGAAAAATTATTTTTAACTCTAAGCTAGCATGCATTCCATTATTTTAAATAAAAATCTAAGTTAAGGCTTAAGTAAAGTATACTACATTGAAAATTATTTCTTAAGAACTTTATTTAGAGTTATCATAAAAGGTGAAATTGAGTAAATAACAGATTAGAAATTTTAAAATTTATCAAATAAATTAATTATTACATAACTCTATCAATTTGGCAAGTGACGATATCATTTTTTTAAATCCTAATTGTCTCTAATTGTGAAGCTAACTAAAGAGGGTGGAATTGAAAACGCTAGACAGAAGACTTACCCGAAAGCAAATTTTCAAATCCTAGTTCTCCAATCCGCGATCTTCAAGCTCCAAGCGTTTCATTCACAATAAACACACAAGTTAAAGAACCAAAATAATTAAAACCTACTTAAGCACCATCCCCGGCAACGGCGTTAAAAACTTGATGCGGCATAAACATGTACCAAAAAATATTTCAAGTGCACAACCGTGTCAAGTTATAGTATAAAGATATCGATCCCACGAGGAAGGTTATAGGAGAAAATATAAAATCAGTTCTTATGTTGTGTGCGTGACAAATAGGAGTGATGAGTGAATGTGATTATGGAGAGATAATGAGAGTGATAGTGTGTAGATCAATGTGTTTGAGAGTGGATGTGAGTAAAAATAAATGTGATCAATAAGGCAAGAAAGAAAATGAAGAACAAAATTCAAGAATAAAAGAAAATACAAGAAATTAAAGATGATGGATTCAATTATAGATATTGGTAATCTAAAATTGAACCCACTTCTTAGAAAAGGGTGATTCCCTAGAGGGTTCTAGCCTAAAGGCGAATCAAACAAAATAAAAATAAACAAAAAGAAAAACTAAACTCAAAAGGGTTCTAGCATCAAAGTGAATAGTGCAAGAAATTAAAATTTAACTACAAAATAAATTACAAAATCTAAACTACAAAATAAATTACTATTTATAGTAAACATCAGTGAATGTAAGTCATTGGATCAAAATCTTATCCAAAATAATTGAATTTCAGCCACTAATCTGTAACTAACTGCCAGCGTATCGATGTCAGCATCGATAGGGGTATCGATGATGGCATCGATGCGGGCATCAATGCTGCCATCGATGCTGGCATCGATGTCAGCCTGCCTCCTTTTTCAGCCCGCAACTTCTCTTCTCTTTGGCCTTTGGGCTTGGACTTTTGGCATTTTTTTTCTTCATTTGGGCTTCTGTTGATGTTTTCTTCTTTTTGGTTTTGGCCTTTTGGATAATTTGGCAATTGATTTTCCAATGGGCTTCTTTGCTTTATTTCTTCATTAAATCAAGGGATTTTTGTTGAGAGATTGGAGTTTGAGATTTATTTTTTATTAACCTGCAATTAAAGATAAAAACAATTATTAGTAGTATATTTATTCATATCAAATAGATAATGAGGATATAAAATTATAATAAAATATGATTATCAATGGGACTCCAAGTCCTATGAAGTTTAGCAGCCATCTAATTAAGTTGTGTAAGTTCACGGGACTTGAAGTCCCGTGAACTTGTAAGTAGTGTGTTTTAGCTTCATGGGACTTGAAGTCCCGTGAAGTTTAGCTGAATTTCCAACTCTCTGGTCCCTCTCTCTCCCTCCTCTCCCCGATCCACTTCCCCATCCAGATCTGAACCCGATCACGATCAAGATCCGCCGATCCTTTCCCTCTCCCTCTTCAACCGACCCGGCAACGACATGGATCTAGGTTTAGGGTAAGATCGTCGACGATGAGTTTTTCATCGACCGCCAATTCAGCAGCAACTTCGAATCTGTATCTGAATCTAGCAGCGACTTCTCCAGCGCTCGCCCGATTAATCGCAGCGGCTTGTGGATTCTCGCGTTTGAGTCTGATTCGGATTCTCACGTTTGAGTCTGATTCGGATTCGGGCAAGCAGATTGTTGCGATCGGGGAGGACTCGATCTTGGATGAGCATATTGAAGGATGAAGTTAAACAAAATTCACGGGACTTGAAGTCCCGTGAAAGAATTAACATCGTTAATTAAATGTCATTAGAGTGTCTTAAACTTCACAGGACTTGAAGTCCCGTGAAGTTTCAGATATTTTTTTGTCAAAATCGACCCAATTTCAGCCAGATGGTTGAAAGTGAGTTGATTTTGACAAATAAGTTGTAAAGAGGTTGAAATTTACAATTATTTTTGTATATGTGTTGATTTTCAAAACTTGTCCAACATTGAGAAGAAGGGAACTTTGATTGGTCGAGTAACAAAATATGGGACCTCTTCCGCTTACGTGCTTAGGGTTCATTGACCGTGGTAGCCCAATTTTTTGATTGTACTAAAAGGATAGTTACGGGTTTAAGAGTTTTTTCTTCTTTTATTATTATTTTTTTTTTCACCTTCAGTTTCTTCCAAAAACATTAAAAGCTAGGTGATCCCCACATTTCCCTCCACCAAAATATAACTGAAACCCCCGCCATTTACTCCCCTTCTCCAAACTCCCATTGCCTCAGTCAATGCTTTCTGTTTCACCCAACGCAGAAAGGACACCCTCGTTAGAGGAAGAACAACAACATCATCACCCAAGATCCCCTGAAAAAAAAAAATCAACAGAGAGAGAAGAAACAGAGACCAAAGCCATGATCTCTGCTCTCCTCTGTTCCTCAGTTCCCACCTAAATCAAGAACAAATCAATCAACCATGACCTAAACTCTCAATCTCAAATAGAAACAGAGGAAAACCCTCCAACCCTCCCCCTGTTCTTCATCGTTATCGTCGTCGGCGGACAGGGATCATCCTCCTCCTGTACGCCGCCGCCGAAAACAACCATGAAGCCTATTGCCTGTTCCTCCTCCCCCTTCTTGGCCTGATCTCTTTCCATTGCCCCAAGTGCCCCTGCCGCTCATCCTCTTCAACTGCGGATCGAATGAGAACGGCACAGACATCGACGGCCGGAGCTGGATGGGCGAGCCATCGGCGAAGGGTCTTCTGACGTCGAGCAATTCACAGCCTGCGGCCGCGTCGTTCCAAGATCCATCCATCACCTCCCCTGTTCCTTACATGACCGCCAACATCTTCACCTCTGAGTCCACCTACAAGTTCCCTGTCTCCGGTAGCGACCGCCATTGGGTCCGCCTCCATTTCTACCCGACGACCTACAACACCCTCAACTCCTCCAACTCCTTCTTCGACGTCACCGCCTCCGGTGGAATCACCCTGTTGAGAAATTTCAGCGCTTACATCACTGCCCAAGCCCTGTCCCAGGCCTATCTCATCAAGGAATTCTCCTTGAACCCCTCTGATGACGGATTCTTAAGCCTGACCTTCACGCCTTCGAAGAACTACCAAGGGTCATACGCTTTTGTCAACGGCATCGAGATTGTCTCAATGCCTAACATCTACAGTCAGTCTGCAATCCTCGTCGGGAGCACGGACCAGACTGTCGATGTCGGGACGTTTGCGTTCCAGACGATGTTTCGGGTCAATGTCGGTGGGCAGTACATTCCCCCAACGAATGACTCCGGACTGTCGAGGACGTGGTATGACGATACTCCCTATATTTTCGGAGCTAGCATCGGCGTCACAAGTGGGGCAGGTGATAAGGCCAGGATTGAGTACCCGAACGATGAGGCGAAGCTCATAGCCCCGGACGACGTTTACAAGACTGCTCGAACCATGGGACCCGATAGCCAGATCAATCTGAATTACAACCTCACCTGGGTGTTTCAGGTGGATGCAAACTTCACTTACATGGTCAGGCTGCACATGTGCGAGACACAGGTTAGTAAAGTTAACCAGAGGGTGTTCGATATCTTCGTCAACAACCAGACCGCTCAGGCCGCCGCTGACGTCATTGGTTGGGCATCGAACAAGTTCGTGCCTATCTACAAGGACTACACGACATTCGTCAGCGATGAGGCCGGAGATGTGATGCTGTGGGTGGCTCTTCATCCGAATCAAGAAATGAAGCCCGAGTTCTACGACTCAATTCTCAACGGTCTGGAGATATTTAAGCTCAGCAATAGCGATGGTAACTTGGCAGGACCGAACCCAGTCCCGTCGCAGTTGATGCAGGAAGCTGAAGCAGGGTTTAACAAGGGTTTCCAGGAGTCGCCCAGCAAGAAAGCATACATTATTGGTGGAGCAGCCGGATTGGAGTGGCCAGCACTGGGATTAGTCCTACGATAGTCTTGCGTCGCTACAGAGGAAAAGGAAGGTGCTCGCCTGCCCCCTCAACTCGTGGGTCTGGCTGGCTTCCATTATATGGATAGTTCTCAGACTTCAGCGAGCAAGTCGACTGTCTCTGGTGGTGCAGCAGCATGTTTCATTCATGGCTGCATAGCCTCTGCAGGCATTTCTTCAATCGCCGAAATCAAACAGGGGACTAAGAACTTCGAGGAGTCGCTGGTCATCGGTGTCGGAGGGTTTGGAAAAGTGTACAAGGGGATTGTGGACGGGAGCACAAAGGTGGCTGTCAAGAGATCAAATCCGTCGTCGGAGCAAGGAGTGCATGAGTTCCAGACGGAGATTGAGATGCTGTCCAAGTTGCGGCACAAGCATTTGGTGTCCTTGATCGGATACTGTGAAGAAGATGGAGAGATGTGCTTGGTGTATGATTACATGGCCTATGGGACTCTGAGAGAGCACCTGTACAACAACAAGAAGGCACCGATGTCTTGGAAGCAGAGGCTAGAGATCTGCATCGGAGCAGCGAGAGGACTCCATTATCTGCACACTGGAGCCAAGTACACAATCATACACAGAGACGTGAAGACCACCAACATCCTCTTGGATGAGAAATGGGTTGCCAAAGTTTCAGACTTTGGACTGTCCAAGACTGGACCGACGATGAACCAGTCGCACGTCAGCACGGTCGTCAAGGGAAGTTTCGGGTACTTGGATCCCGAGTACTTCAGGAGGCAGCAGCTGACGGATAAATCCGACGTTTACTCCTTCGGTGTTGTTCTCTTCGAGGTGTTGTGTGCTCGCCCAGCGCTCAACCCGTCTCTGCCAAAAGAACAAGTTAGTCTCGCTGACTGGGCCCTGAACTGTCTAAGGAAGGGAACTTTCAGTGACATAATTGATCCGCACCTCAAAAGAAGGATGGATCCAGAATGCCTGAAGAAGTTTGCGGAGACGGCGGAGAAATGCTTATCTGATCACGGAGTCGACAGGCCTTCGATGGGGGATGTGCTATGGAATCTGGAGTTTGCTCTTCAACTGCAAGAGAGCTTTGAAGATGGCAAGTCCTCCAAGGGTGGGAGTATCGATATGCCAGAGTCCGTGAGAAGCGAAATCATCTCAGGAGAGCATAATGGAGGTGCGAGTACCGGGGGGAGCGAGGCAAGTAATGATACGAACAGCAACGGGATCTTTTCTCAGCTCATTAGTCCAAAGGGGCGATAATAAGAACGATATCCATGGTTGATTCCCGGTTGAATTTCAGTCGATTTAAGGAAGGTTATCCTGCGATGTGGGGCTGTTGTTGAGTGGTCTATTGGTTTTTTCGGCAAATTAATTACATTACTTGTACACGGTCAGGTTCTTGGAACTGGGAGTAATTTGTATTAAACAGGTCAAACAATTTCTCTCCTAATATTGATTTCATGTCTATCTGATGTTCTATTCGTTTTTGTTTTGCTTTTTCTTTTTTCTTTTTTTTTTTTTTTGGGAAATCCTATTGGTTCTGTTACATCTAGCGCTTCAGTATTTTTCCATGCCTGTCAATGTTGTTATCAAGATCAGGAGAATATCAAGTTCGTGCTTGGAAGACTATTCACATTACTGAGGAGGAAAACAACCTTTTTTTTTTGTAAAGAGAAACAGAGGCAGACTCTTAGCTCGAAGTTTCAAGTGCGATGGAGAAACAACTGGTGTTACTGAGGCCACAAAAAAAAATATTCTATCTAGTAAACATACGGGCAACTCCAGGGCAGAAAATTAGCCAAAACTTTAGATCTGCAATTTTTTTTTGTCAATTATATACCCTTCCGTAAAATATTTTTTACTTCACATGTGGTTGGTGCTTATATATAACAGGAATCATATAAAACTGTATTGCTTCTCATCACGAAAACAGCTCGATATCCTATGAACCATGAGTGCTGATCTAACAATTTTTGACGATGAAGGTACTTTGAATCTTCATTTTAAAACTTTATTTAGTTGACAAGGAAGATCAAGAACGCACGGTATTATGTAACTCTGCAAACATTTTGTGAGTCTATGCGCTTGGTTTGTCATGTAAAGTATCTCAATTGATACGTCTCGGGTTGGAGAAAAGAAACTAACGCGTATGATGAAGTGTCAGAAAATAACAAAATAATATAATTTTTTGTTTTCTGAAATGCATTCTCATGATAATAAAATATGATGAATACTTTGAAGGTAACTGAAGGGCTTCATTGAGGCAGAGATTAACGGGCGATACCACGTATTTACAACAACAGAAGGTAGGTGAGAGCCGGGAAATGGCAGAAATAAGGAACTATAAATTCCGGCCATATTAACAAAATAGAGAAAGCCCAGCAAATGAGGCATTATCATCATGTGTGATGCTTAAGTAAACAACGGAGTAGCGCATAATAAGTATAATTATTGTTTCATATAAAAATACCTGAGAAAATGTAAACAAAGTGTCCAACTGTTTAGAAAAAAAAATCTAAATGAGCCAGCTAAATATGGCAAAAATTAAGATTTTTATGTGCGTATATAAGTTGGAATCGAGTGTGAATTTATTGGAATAAACATGGAAACAGTTAAGGACTAAATGGAGTAAATTCATGTATGGCAACATCAGGTTTGCAGTAAAATAGGTTTCAACTTAGAAAATGAATCTTACTTGATGAAAAAGTCATGCTGCCGCTTTACCAGAGGTTATTGCATGAACATCTTTGATTGGTCACCGCCTGCCATATCCGAGATGGTCCCAACTGAACTACAGCAGTCATTGCATAATTCTCGAATTCTTCGAGATTCTAAAGGGGACCTCCTGACCATTTTTCTTCGAATAAATAGAATTTATGCAAAACTTCTTGCTGTGAGTTCTGAGCGACCCGGCTGAGGTCTGTACCTCCATTGCCTGAACAATCCCATTCAGCTCATCAAGTATGTCGAAGACCATTCTGCATTTCGAAGAACAAAGATAGGGCTTTATTGAAATCACTACTCATAGAACACTCTGCCCCATACCGCATACAGAATACATATGTCAAAGAGTGCATTTTATATGAGCACATTGTTTCGAGAGTGCAACAACGTTGCAAGATCCACGCAACCCAATTACCCGCATGATGAAACATCGATTCCCTAAATGTTCATTCGCTGAACAGAGCGAGAATGCATACATAACCATCAACTCAATACGAATAAGGGCATCATCATTGTCAAGTCCCAACTTAACAATCTCACTGTGCACAGCTTTGCCACCGGATCACACATCAAGTAGCTCAATGCAGTGCAGGCTTTGAGCACGAAAAGGAATCTAAAGATACAGGCCCAGCATTAGCCAAGGCTTACACCAAATTAAACAAAGGTTGTTCTTCAAAGTTCAAATCCAAGGAAAATGCACCGGTTGCGCATTTGATCAAACAGGCTGCGGGTGAACGTTAAATCTCCGATGTGCTGTTGAACATCATGAACAGTATGAACTATGGTGAGTCCCAGATGTTGGGATCGAGAGACGCCCACACTGCCGCGGAAGCTAAATCACCCAGAGAGAAAACAACCAACACAAGCAATAGAGAATACACAGAAAAAAACAATAAGTAAAGGAGACGAGACAACATATTTACGTAGTTAGGCAAACTTGCATATGTCCATGGGATCCGTACAAATAATTTCTTATTTAACCACAAGAAATTACAAAACTTGCAAAAAGTGAAAATCTCAAACTTGAGATCACTCACAACAAACAACTCGCCACTGTAGCAAATGCTACAGGGCTTGTGCGCATTTTTCTTGACCGAAAAATCGCCTCTCAAATCCTTGAGAACCACCGCCACCACAGAGTTTTTTTCCTCCGTAAAATCGCAAGATGAGCAGCTCACAAAATCTCGTGAATATGGTTTCCCTTTTATAGGGAAACCCTAGATCAATCAGGCGAGCTCCCTCCCGTTGTCTTCCACCCACGCAGGCGAATCAGGCAAGCTCTGAGCTCCAGTAGGCAAGGTCCATCATGAGCAGGCGAGCTCGTGATCGCACAGGCCAGCTCGAACCACCTCGCCCGCAGGCTAGCTCCACGCCAGGCCCGCAGGCGAGCTCCCTCGCCTCGCCTCTTAACGCAGGCGAGCCTCCTTGCCCGCAAGCGAGCTTCCTTACCCGTCCAGGTTTGATTTTTCTTCAATTATCCACCTCGTACATCATTTGATAAACCTCAAATTTTGGACGAATACCAGAAGAACACCATGAACGCCAAACAGGCCAAATCAGCTACACTATTATATCGTGGCTGAGGCCCGCAGGCGAGCTCCCTCGCCTCGCCTCTTAACGCAGGCGAGCCTCCTTGCCCGCAAGCGAGCTTCCTTACCCGTCCAGGTTTGATTTTTCTTCAATTATCCACCTCGTACATCATTTGATAAACCTCAAATTTTGGACGAATACCAGAAGAACACCATGAACGCCAAACAGGCCAAATCAGCTACACTATTATATCGTGGCTGCCTACGTACCCTCTAACCGGGATCAAGCTAATCGTAGTTCTGCTTGTTGCCCTCTTGGGCAGATCAACACAGGATGATATGAAGTAAGTTCAAGCAATGCTGAAACTTGCTACCTATCACCACCTTGGTCAACATGTCTGATGGGTTCTCATTTGTGTGCACCTTCATGAGAAAAATATCACATTCCTCTATGACATCCCACACAAAATGATACCTAACGTCGTTATGCTTGGTACGAGCATGATGAACTTGATTCTTAGCCAAATGAAATGCACTCTGATTGTCGCACCACAAGTTCACGCAACCCTGTTCAATCCCCAAATCGTCTAACCGACCCCACAACCATAATGTTTCCTTCACTCCCTCTGTCATGGCCATGTACTCAGCCTCTGTAGTAGAAAGTATCATTGTAACATGTAATATCGATCGTCAACTAATCGAAGCACTATGTATTCTGAATACATAACCAGTAGTAGATTGTCGTTTGTCTAGATCGCTCGCATAATCTGAGTCCACAAACTCATCAATCTAACATGTATCTCCATAAAAACACAGACACGTATCAGTGGTACCCTTCAAGTACCTCAGGACCCATTTCACTGCTTCCTAACGTGCCTTTCCCGAATTCGCCATGAACCTACTAACAACACTGACCGCATGTGAAATATCTGAACGTGTATACACCATTACGTACATTAAACTGTCAACTGCACTAACAAAAGGTACACGCTTCATGTGTACCTTCTCTTCCGCTGTAGTGGGAGATTGTTTACCTGAGAGCCTGAAGTGTGGAGCCAATGCAGTCACCACCGACTTAGCACTTTGCATCCTAAACCTTGCGATAACCCGCTCAATGTAGCCCTTTTGACTCAAGAACACTCGTCGATTCGCCTGCTCTCTTCTAATCTCTATACCCAGTATTTTCTTAGCAGCGTCCATGTCCTTCATCTCTAACTCTTTACCAAATTGAGATTTCAGCCTATCTATCTCCACTTTGCTTCTCGAAGCAATAAGCATGTCATCCACATACAAAAGAAGATAGATATAATCACCTCCACGAAGCTTTCGAATATAGACACAGTAGTCATAAACACTTCTGAAGAACCCATGCTTTAGCATGAAGGAGTCAAATCGCTTGTATCACTGCCGAGGAGATTGTTTCAATCCATAAGATGATTTTCTCAGGCGACATACATGATTCTCCTTATCCTCAACCTTATAACCCTCAGGCTGATGTATATAGATTTCCTCTACCAAGTTTCCATGCAAGAAGACCGTCTTAACATCGAGTTGTTCCAGCTTAAGATCATCATGAGCAACAATACTTAATAGCATCCGAATAGAAGTGTGTTTCACCACCGGAGAAAATATCTCATTGTAATCTACACCTTCTCTTTGTGTAAACCCCTTAGCCACTAGTGTAGCCTTGTATCTTGTACCATCAAGCTCGGAAGGATCCTCCTTTCTCTTGTACACCTACTTACAACCAATAGCTTTCTTCCCAACAAGCAATGGAACTACCTCTCATGTTTGATTCTTTTCGGAGAGATTTCATCTCTTCCTCCATCGCAGCCAACCAACTCTCACTATCCCTATCCTGAATAGCTTCTTTGAAGGTGACCAGCTCATCATCCTCTACCAAGGGTGCGTACTCAACCAAATGTACCTGTCCATAGTGCTTCAGAGGCTGATTTGATCCCAGCTTCTGAACCTGCTTGTATGCTCGTCTTGGCCTAGTGGAAGCCAAACTATCTTTGAGTTACTGTTGTTATAATACTTGTACATTTTCTTGCTGAACCTCCTCCTGTTTAAGCTCATCATCTTCATGATCCTCCTCTTGAACATGACTAGAATATGGTTGGTCTTTAGGTTCTATTTCGATCACCTAGGACTTTGAAGTCCTAACAGTCTCAACACCACCGTTCTTAGATGCTCTGGCAATCATGGATTTCTCATCAAAGGTAACATCTCTGCTAATCACGAACTTGGAATCTTATGTACACCAAAGATGATAGTCTTTTATGCCCTTTGCATACCCCAAGAATATTACCTTCTTGGTCCTCGTGTCAAGCTTTCCCTTGTTAACGTGATAGTAGGTTGTACATCCGAAAATTCTGAGTCTATCATAATCTGCATACTCTATTGACCATACCCGATAGGGTATATCACCATCCAATATCGAATGTGGAGAACGATTCACTATGTAACAAGCTGTAGCAACCGCTTATGCCCACCATTCTTTGCCTAAACCAGCATATGATCGCATACTCATTGCTTTCTCCCGTATTGTACGGTTCAATCTTTTTGCGACTCCATTCTGTTGTGGTGTAAACCTGACTGCCCAGTGTCGAGCAATACCCTTCTGATCACAAAACTCCTTGAAAGCACCCTCTGTATATTTTGTACCATTATCAGATCTCAGTGTCTTTAATTTCTTATTTGTCCCATTCTCAACCATTACTTTCCACTTCTTGAATGTCTCAAATACCTTATTCTTATGTTTAAGAAAATAAATCCAAGCATACCTAGAATAATCATCTATGAACGAGACAAAATACCTGGAACCACCCTTGGAAGTTGTCTGAACCGGACCCCAAATACCTGTATGCACATAGTCTAATATACCTCTGCTCTTGTGCTTGCTTCTCAGAAACTGAAGCCTGTGCGCCTTTTCGTACACACAATCCTCACAAAAATCCATGCAAGATTTTTTCATGTTCTTCATCAAACCTTCCTTACCTAGCAGATCTAGACCCTTCTTTAACATATACCCAAGCCGTCTATGTCATAACCGAGTGTGCTCACATGGATCCCCACCACTTCCATCAGTTCTAACCGTTTCATCTTCTGTCACTGTCGTACCCGAGAAAGTATATAGATTACCATGATGAATACCCTTCATTACTACTAAGGAACCCCGAACAACCTTCTTTACTCCTTTCTCTGTTACTATTTTGCAACCATTGGAGTCTAAAACACCAACTGAGATAAGATTCTTCCGCAAGTCGGGAACATACCTCACGTCCGTTAGGGTTCTGACCACTCCATCATGCATTTTAATTTTTATATCACTAAGCCCCATCGTTTTACAAGCATGGTTATTCCCCATTAATACGGTTCCACCATCAATGCTTCTATAGGTAGTAAACTACTTTCTATTTGGACACATATGGTAAGAGCAACCTGAATTAAGAATCCACTTACCGAAGATATCTTTGCAACCCGTAACAACATAGCATTCTTTATAGCTCCCTTCCTCCGAGATGTAACTCGCAACTCACCTCTTCCTTGCCTTCTCTCTTCTCGGTTTTATTGTTGTTCTTTTTTTCACCTACTCTCTTATTAAGACAAGCGACCTTGAAATACCCAAGTTCATCGCATTTAAAACACGGTCTTCCCGCAAGAGGTCTTGATTTCAATCTAGACTTTCCTCCATTGCCTTTTCCTCACTCATTGCTCCTTCCTCTAACAAACAATCCATGCGCCTGCTCCTTGTTACCACTAGTGGCCATATCACTAGTTAAAATTTTCTGAAGATCATCTGTTACAAGCGTCGTTCTAGTCTTATGCATCTTCAAATTATCATCCACAAGCATCAACGTTTGTACCACGTTCTCATAAAGACTTCAATAAAGAAAGAAGTAGCAGAAGTGCTTGATCCTCATCTTCTACTTTCACATCAATGTCCTTCACATCCGATATGATCATATTGAACTTGTTAATGTATTCCCGGATTGACGAGTCTTCCTCCATCTTGTAAGTATATAATCTGCATTTCAAGTAGATCCGATTTGTTAGACTCTTCGTCATGAAGGTACTCTCTAACTTTGACCACACGCCCGCAGCCATTTCCTCTCCATCCACCAAGAAAGCAACATCCTTCTCAAGACATAGGATAATCGACGCTCGTGCTTTGAGATCTAACTCTTCCCAATCCTCATCTGACATATCTTCGTACTTCTTTTCTCTTCCTGCCAAAGCCTTGTGCAATTTCTACGAAATCAACGAATTTTTCATCTGCATCTTCCAATAGAAAAAATTATTCTTCTCATTGAACTTTTCGATCTCGTACTTTTCAACTTTAACTGTTTTACTGGCAGACGTCATCATCAGCTTGTTTCAGTAAACCACCTCTCTTAGGAAATTTTAACAAATACCTTGTGTGCACCACACAATAACCAAGCATCACCTTAAATCGGAAGCTCAACCACCGCTAATTTGAATAAGGGCTCTGATAGCAATTATTGAGATCGAGAGATGCCCACACCGCCGCGGAAGCTAAATCACCCAGAGAAAAAACAACCAACACAAGCAATAGCGAATACACAGAAAAAACAATAAGTAAAGGAGACGAGACAACAGATTTACGTGGTTCGACAAACTTGCCTACGTCCAGGAGCCGCACAAATAATTCCTTATTTAACCATAAGAAATTACAAAACTTGCAAAAAGAGAAAATCTCAAACTTGAGATCTCTCACAACAAACAACTCGCCACTGTAGCAAATGCTACAGGGCTTGTGCGCATTTTTCTTGACCGAAAACTCGCCTCTCAAATCCTTGAGAACTGCCGCCACCACAGAGTTTTTCTCCTCTGTAAAATCGCGAGATGAGCAGCGCACAAAATCCCGTGAATAAGGTTTCCCTTTTATAGGGAAACCCTAGATCAATCAGGCGAGCTCCCTCTAGCTGACTTCCACCCACGCAGGCGAATTAGGTGAGCTCCGAGCTCCAGTAGGTGAGGTCCATCACGAGCAGGCGAGCTCGTGATCGCACAGGTGAGCTCCCTCGCCTCGCCTCTTAACGCAGCGAGCCTCCTCGCCCGTCCAAGTTCGATTTTTCTTCACCAGATGTATAGTTCAAGTCATTAATAAATGTTAATTGTGAGTAGGCCCCCACTAGTATCACCAAATTGCGGAGAGACTCCCAGTGTTTTATTGTGGATAGACCCCCCACGCTACTTTTATGGTGACAGGCCATTATAGCCATTTGAGGGACTAGTAAGCAATTTCAAAAAGTTTAGTGACTAGCATAAAATTATTAATGAGGGATTAATATCTGAAAAAAACCCCTCTTTCTTCTTCACTATGGCTGCTGACATCAGATCATTCGATCCAGTGTCCTGAGCCCTCCTCATCAGCTAACTGCCACAGCAAACGTGTCCCCAGTCAAAATCAAAATCAGAATCAGAGCTCCCTCGTCGATCGAAATAACTGAAGGAAAAAAAAATGCCCAAATCTCTTCACCAACGCCAGAAACCCTCGTCAGATCCACTCCGGGTCTCTCCTCCCTCCTCCTCCGCTCGTCGCTCCTCCTCTCTCTCCGTCCCCGCCGCCACCGCCGTCTTCCCTCCGATCCAAGTGGCGATCCTACACTCTCGCCGACGCCGCAGCCTTCGTCGCCGCCAAGGGTAAGAGTGCCGGCGACGAGATCGGGACGGTGATTGTCTGCGCTGTGAGTAAACCCTACTTGCCCTTTTTGAGCAATTGGCTGATTAGCGTGTCGAGGCAGAAGCAGCAGGAGAAGGTGCTGGTGGTTGCTGAGGATTACGCCACGCTTTATCTTGTCAATGAGAGGTGGCCCGGGCACGCGGTCCTTGTTCCGCCGGCGCCCGAGCTGCAGACCGCTCACAAATTTGGATCTCAGGTTTGTTTTCAACCTCGTTTCCTGAATTGGGTCCCTTGTTGGAAATCTGCGGTCTTTACTCGTTGTGAATCTTTATGTGGGTTGGATCTGTGTGGTTACTCTCGTTTAACTGGAATTGTTTGATTTACTGTGTGGGGGCTTGATGGGGATACAAATGTATAGTTGCCAATTAAAGAAAGCAAGCTCTTTGGAAATTCACTTGAGAAATGTTTCATTGTTGGTATCATATATACATGTGCTAGAAACCTAAGAGAGCTCGTCTGTGTAGGACTAAATGGATCTAACGTTGCCTTTTGCAATCTTTTCCATAGACCTGAACCTTGTGTGGGCTTTAAAGGGAGAATGGGGGGGTTTCTACCAGAGATGGAATGTTCTATTGCTTTGCTTATTTTGAAAATTTACAGGGTTTCTTCAATTTTACGTCAAGAAGGCCAAGGCATCTCCTGCAGATTCTGGAGCTGGGGTACAATGTGATGTACAACGATGTGGATATGGTCTGGTTGCAGGATCCATTTCGTTATCTCGAGGGAAATCACGATGTCTACTTTACTGATGACATGGCTGCTGTATGTCTTCTACCTTGCATTTCTATATTTTTTTTATCATGAATATAACATAAACATGGTGGATATCATCATATCAATATTATCATTTAGGCTTTTTTCTTCGAAGACGTGCATTTGCAGAAAGAATGAGGAGAATAATTGGTAGATTGCTGTTTCTTTTTATTTTTTATGATCATGAAAATTTATTTTACTCATCTACCTGGAATCAACAGGTGAAACCTCTAGATCACCCTCATGACCTGCCTGCTCCTGGTAAGAAGGGAAGAACATATATTTGTAGTTGCATGATTTATCTGCGGCCAACTGATGGAGCAAAGTTAGTGATGAAGAAGTGGATTGAAGAACTCAAAGAGCAACCGTGGTCCAAAAAGAAAAAGTCCAATGACCAGCCTGCTTTCAACTGGGCTTTAAATAGAACTGCTGGAGAGGTATGTTTGTTCATTTTATTGAGTTATCGCTAAGAGCTACCTAATCGTCTAGTTGTATGCATATCATGTTGAGGTTGACTGCTACAACATGCATAGCTATAAGAAATTATTGTCTTTTGCTAAGAATTTGTTGATTCTAATTAGTGAACTATGACGTTGCAATGTGCTACCAACCACTGCTGGATGAAGTAGTAGACAGGAAGATTAGTTAATAATGGAACTTTGAAATCCTGGAAGGTTCATAATAGTGCACCTAGTTCTTAAAATAAAATAATAATTAAATGGCTGTATATTATCATAATATTGATATGACACAATGTCAGGTTTACCTTTTTATTTCTCCCTCAGTATTCAACCAATCATTAGTACGTTGCCAAAATGCATTGTGTACCCTAAAGCAAATCACTGAATAACCATTATTAGGCATCAGGAAATGAAAGCTTAAAGAAAATATGCAAGACAATGTAGATTGGATATTGTAATTTTCTTACTTTAACTGGTCTTGATTTATGCCTTGAGGCTTATTCCTTCCCTTTAAGGGGGTTTAACGCTCCACCTTCTGCCTTTACCTTTCTGAAGTCTGAACACTGAGAACTTGTCCTTGTGAGCTGATTTCATAGGCCAAAAACTTGCAAAAGCTCCTTATAATTTTTTTTTATTTATGAAAACCATTTAAATCTCCTTTCCTTCTAGGGAATCATACTAACAAACAGCGCAAATTGGTGCAGGTGGATCTTTATCTATTGCCTCAGGCTGCATTTCCATCAGGAGGGTTATATTTCAAGAATGAAACATGGGTAAAAGAAACCAAGGGGATGCATGTCATCATCCACAACAACTACATCACTGGTTTTGAGAAGAAAATCAAACGTTTTCATGATTTTGGGCTATGGTTGGTGGACGACCACAGCAATGAGTCCCCTCTAGGTAAAATAAACGAATGATTCATGGACAAACACAAGCTATAAATGTGCCTTGTCTTGATACACTGGCTCTCTTCTATTTTACTGACTCTCATGGAAGCCTTCTCTACTTCTCGTGCACACTACCAAAGACAAGATTAACAAAGAATATCACTGGGAAAAGAATGTTCTGTCCGAGGAGATTATAAGTTAAGTTGACCCTTCAAGCTTGCTCATTGTTTGAGAAGCATTCTTTACCTCTCTCTCAGGAAGATGGTTACTGTACTATCCATAATATCATATGTGATCTGGCCAAATCAAAGATGATCTGCAAAATTTTGTAAGCTGCTTTGAGGCAGATAATTTCGCCCATTTATAAACCCATAACGTATGCTTGTATGAGGAAGCTTGGAGCTGTTCTTTTCTTCTATTATTATTTATTTTTCATGTTACGTCTGTCACAGAAATGAAACTAATCTTTTTCTTGCTAATACGAAGTTTGTGGCTCAATGTTGAATGTTGAAGCATCTAGTACATCATTAATACGTGTGTTTCGATAGCTATTGCCAACTGGAAAAAAAAAACCATTTTGCTGGCTGTCTATTGAAGGGTTTGATTCGCCTTCCCGTTGCAAAGCAGCGTGTATAACATTGTCATACTTGCATACTCTGGTTTTTATGCAATACTTATACAGGATATATCATAAAAAGAATTACCTGACAGAAATCAATTACTGCCACTTGAAGAGAATGGTAAAATCCTTGTATATTTACAATAACGACCACATCCGTATTTGAAGATTGCAACATATTGCTTAATGTGAAAGCAGTGAACTTTGTCCCACAACCAGACCATTTTGCTTTCGAACAGGTTTAACGGTCATGACTGTTTGTGCCGCATGTTAAGTGTGAGCAGGAAAAAGAACATGAGAAGAGAATATTCTGAAGTTCAAGTCCCAGAATCAGGGCCTAAAGCTAAGTCAAAAATGATAAATTAATCCCAAATAAGTCGTTTTTTTAAAATAAATCTCAAAATTTGTTGGTTTTGAAAAATTGTCAACTAATCAAATTTATTCCGATATTAACGGTGGCAGCATTGTCAGTAATTTTGCACGCTCGACCGACAATATTTATATTCCCATGATAAAGTGACAACTCAAAAGTATGAGGTACCAGTAGTCACAAAATGCTCAAATTGCATCAGAAACAATTCTCATCTACAGTCTATGATCATTCGAAAAAAAAATTACATTGAAATTTGAAATCTATATACTCATAGTATTGTCTACTGTGAACCAAAAGTGTCCAAAAACTACATAATAGGCTTTCAACACGCTACAATACGTGGAGAACTCAGCACTTCATGAACTGTAGTCATATATAGGTCTTCCCCGCAGGAAGGCATAAACCAATCACTTGTCTTCACATTTTGTTTACCAGATGCTACAATTTCCTTTGTTACACGTGAGCGAAAAGAAAAAGAAAAAGAAAAAAAAAATACAAAAAGCAAGAAAGGATTTACAACCTCACACTAGTTTTTACAAGGGCAACTTCTTCTGAGCACCCAACAATAGAACACTATAAAAATCAAAATACACATAAGAGACACAGAAAGGGAAGCTGAGTGAAGGATATACAAATACAAGAGAAACCTTGGCTATATATATGGTATTCTCACTGATCACCTTGGGCCATTGTTCCATGGTGGTGATCTGTAACCTGATCCTTGTGAAAATGAGGGTGCGCCATGATTGAGGTCAAGGTTATGGAGTTGCTCCATGAGTTGAGATCTTCGCTCTTTGAAGAAGTCGAGGCGTGTCGTTAATTCTACCAGAGTTGAAGACGTTATAGCAGGCAGTTGCCTTTGGGTAGAGTTGAACGCCTACATGACAAATGTCATTAAACATTTCACTTTCAGGTAAGTGAATGTTCTATAGAGAGATTATATTGCCTCCTTACCTCAGCGCTTTGCTTAGAGATTGTGGCGCCCGTTGAAGTAGAATTGGGATCCAAACTTATGCCTGAAGATTCAGAAAATCCTGTCTCTAAAGATCGTTTATGTGCGAGTTGCTCGATGCCAGCATAAGGGTGCACCTGTGGCTTAATGTTTCTCCAGTCAGCCCCAGATGAACTCTCCTGAATATTTTTGAGGAAAATATATTAGATGAGAAGCGAGTCCATAAATTGATTAAAGAAAACAAAAATATTAAGAAAAAATATCAAGGTATATGCATGTATTTATGTGCGTTTTTGCCTACAGTATGGGTCAGTCAAAAAGTTTTAATTGGAGAACAAGCTTCATGGAACTGAAAAGCGGAACACATAAATTTTTTTGGTTAGAAATTAAATGATAAATCAAGGTTCATCTGCAATTTGAATAATCTGTAGTTAGATTAATTGAGAAAGATATGATCTGAAGTTTGTCTGCCCTTCTGCCGAAAACCTTCTGCCGAAAATGTAATTTCCTTTGCCAAGGATTTGCACCAGACCCAACTAAAACTTTATGGTCAAGGTGTTTGAGCAGCTTATGACCTTCTGCAAAGTTCTGATATCGCAGCTTCCTACTGTGCATAATGTCATCCTCTAATGAAATACCCCCCCCCTCCTCTCTCTCTCTCTCTCTCTCTCTCTAAGTTTGCAAAACGACCACTTAAGCATGGGCAGCAGTAATGTATTAAGGCATGAATCAACCACTCTAGGAGTTTGGTTCACAATGGCAATCATTGTAACACCAAGATTTCATCCATTTGACCCTATCGTTATCACATGTTAAACATGACTCACTTTAATGATGTAACTTATATTTTAATTTAATTATCACCCTAGTGCTTTTTTAAAACATGACTCACTTGAATGATGTAACTTATGTTTTAATTTAACTATCATCCTCTGCTAGATTAAAAGTTAGATTGCTTGGATAACTTTGCCAAGGAATTGCATATTTCCAAGTGGAAGAACTGGCAAAAAATGACATTCCCAACAAGCTCAGGGACCGCAAGGACCCAGGTGAGGAACATAGGCTAAGAAGCATGAACATATAACTAACATGAATATATGACATGGCAATCCTTTAAAGGTTAGGATAAAGGGATATTCAATACAAATTAATAGATTATGAGAGTACATATTCACATAACTTAACATGCCCCTGCACCCAAACGTCCAGCCACAATACTTCAAATTGACAAGTATTCTTAAAAACAAATAGTTTAGGCATCTTCCCTCCTCCAGGTTATTTCTGTCATTTGATAATACTAAATTGGACATTAAGTAAGGAGAGGGAAACTATTGCAGATATCACAAGTAATAAATAGATAATGATCATAGATGCTTACTGAATTATAATCTAATTCTATTCAAATCTTAGGAAATGTAACCAAATCCCTTCACATTCTCCTAATTTTAAGTATACTCAGTTAGCTCCTCTCATGTTTAGAAAAAACATTCATGCCCACACTATAACTATAAAAAGGCACATTAGAAAATAATTGTGAGAACTTCTAAATAATAAATATAACATATCTCTCTCAGATAACCTCCCTAACTCCCACTTGAGATGGACTGGGCTTCTTGTAAGGATTTGGAAGAAAATCTTTCCCATTCAAACCAAATAGATATTAGATAGGATTAGGAAGAAAATCTTTCTCATTCAAACTAAACAGATATTAGATCCACTCCATTCAGGTTAATCTACTTATTGTTTGAAGCGTCTAACATCCAAAAGATGAAGAATTTAAATAGTGCCGCCTATGCATCACCATAAGCATAACAGTCTAATTAGGAAGTTTGTTTAATCAAATAATCTATCATTTTCAGACCTATCAAGTTGGTGAAAGGATCGTTTAGTGTTCATATCATAAGCAAATGACTAATCGAGAATTTGAATGTGCAAAATTATAATCTAACAATCTACCTTCAAAACACTTGATTTGAATTTTTATTTCTAAATATTTCAAAGGTTGTAAACAATTTGAATTGAGAAGTCATTCACTTGAATGGCCTGAAATTTGAATTTGATAAAGGCTTCAACTCCAAAAATTTCCAGAAATAGCCAAGTCTATCTCATATATATCATAACGAAGAGCAAGTTTGAGAGGTGTCTAAATGTGTCCAGAGGTGTTAGTGTCTGACAATATGTTAAGATATGGGTATACGGCTTCATGATAGAGATATCATACTACATGGGTCATATGCAACTTCTCAAAGACATTCTCGAGGGTAAACAATTTTAAACTCTGAAAGATTGAGGTGCAAAACGTTCACACTATGTCTATCTACTTTCTATTTGCTAAACTCGATAAGTAGAGGTACTATTTTATAATCGGGCACTTCTAACTATCCAGAGAATTCCCGAAAATATTTCTGCATACGCTTGGATCGTGATTGTATCGTGGATATCTCTGCTATCAGTAAATGATAACTCATAGCCACCTTATAATAAAAGAAATATTTCCAAGATACACATTATTATTTCAAAGATTTTTAATGTATAGAATGAAGTAAAATCTGGATACTACCTCAGGAGAAAACAAGTTTGACGCAAGGCCATATGTCTTATTCTGTTAAATTAATAGCTTGAAGGATAATTCTCATCTAGGGAGGTTACTGGTCCAAGTCCATATCTAGGTATGAAAACTGAGAGAGAAACTATTAAAATATAAAATTATATCCCTCAATCTTCACCACAACTTCGAAGTTTTGGTGTAGTGGAAAGGTCCTTTGACACGATATCAAAGCAACTCAGGTTCAATTCCCTCCAGGCCATGAATTTAAAGAGGATTTTTAAAAATTGATACCGCTGTGACGTTTCGGGCTTTTCGGTCCATAAAAAGACCATTCAACCTACGGTCGCATGTTAAAATATAAAATTATATTTATAAACCTCAACCCTCATCAAAACTCCAGAGTTTTCATGGTGGTATGAACATTTGACAGAAACTAAAGAGCAAAGAGAAGTCATAAAATCCTTGAAGACTTTGGAGTCTCATAACAGAAGTGTGTCTAAATGCATGTGCTTATGCCAGAAAAAGACAAGGTTTTCACTAGAAATACCTCACTTCTTTGTTTCTTCTCATGATTGCAGTGAGCAAGGTTCAAATCAAAATCTTGTTGGACAGCCTTTCTGCATCAAATACGTAAAGGCAGGACAAGAAGATCAATACAGGAAGAGCAAATATTCCATCTGTGCTTTGAGTTAATCAAACATTTCAGTAAATATACATTACATGAACATGAAAATATTGGATTTACTTGAGATATGATAAGTGTATCCCCGTCTTGGTACTCTGAGTAGAAATGTAATGGGATAAAAGCATAGCACATTATAACTGTATGATTAGTGATACAGATGAAAAAGAGGTGAGCAGTAATAAGAGAGGTATCTCTGTGGCTGAGTAACATCCGAAGTATGACAGAAAAGAAGAAAGACAACACACCCATATCATCACATTTCAGACACAATTTGAATAAGAAATTATAGAAGAATCAGGTTTCATAGTTCTTTGAACAAGGATCTTGCTCGACAACTAAGTTTCTCTTGAGGAACATATGGAAATTCCCTAAGTTTGGTAGCCATTTTCTATTAAATAAAAACCATTTAGCTTATTCTATTCAATTAGGTATGCTATTTTAGGCTATCCACCAAGCCTTTTAGGAAGCTGTCGACGTCAATTTCAGCCAGTTATTCGAAAGAAGAGAAAGGATAATTCAGACCCATTTAAGGGTTAAGATCCGCGCGCTTTCAAATAGGCTCTATTTGGCAATAAATTAAAGCACAGGTAAAAGAGTATCCCAAGTTCTGATGCCGCAAAAATTGTTTGCGTTATTGGGTTAGTAATCTGGATTAATGAAGAAAAGTTACGCTTCATTAACAGGGATTTACAAATCCATTAATGTAGGAGGGTTAAGGAATAATGGGGTTTTAACAAATGGAGAAATAGGAATATAAAAAATAAAAAGAAATCTACCATATAAATCTCAACAACCCTCTCCCGTCTCTCTTTGCCTTTTATTATTATTACATTCATAAGTATCACATGCTTGTATTCTGATGATTGTTGAAGATTAAATTTAAGTAAATACTGATAATTTAATTCTTTTTTTCAACATGCATTTCATTGTCCAACTAGTGTCACATAACAGATATACATAAACTGGAGGAAATGCAGAAACATCAGAAACGAGTATAATATGTGAGACATACATTCTTGAGAATTTGCAAAATTGAAGAAAAACCTACTTAAACCATTAACCTTTCCCATCTTGCCAACTGCATAGCATATTAACTTTTGTCTTCAGAATCACCAAATGAGTTCAATCTGAGTTGAGATCATAGCACCTTTTTACTAACCAAGGCGTACTTCAGCCTTGACCCATTGCCAAAAAGCATGTTACATATGCAAAACAGCTTTAGTGGAAAAGGATGTTAAATATAGTGTCTTGTGTAAAACTATAATGAATTTAGGATAAAAATCACAAGTGATTTATAAGCTATCATATACATATAGACAGCCAAAGAAGAAGAGCATATTTAGTCGACCGTTCAAAAAATGTAATAGAAGTTAGAATTAGCATCTATGGATACCTCATTCTACTGTGACTTGTAAGAAACATGGGCCAGTGTGTTTGCATATATGGGTAAGCTGTGCATTATGCATTGTTACTCTTTAGATATTTGTAAGGCTTTGCATTATGTGTCCTTTATCTTTAGACATTTGTGTGATATTTGTTGTCACATTATGTTTTTCTCGATTTCCTATGATTTTTGGAAACTCTGTAACCTGATAAGCATGCTCTGTGTGTATGTGCATGTGTGCAGGCAGGTGGGCGGGAGTGTGGGCATGTAGGCGTGTGTCCCATGAGTAGAATATGATGAAAATTTTTAACTAAATAAGTTATTATACCGCATCTAGGACATATGTGATAGGTAATGTGAATTTATTACATAATGTCTAATACTACAGTCAAATACTACCAAATACTAAGACATAACAAACCTCTGAAGTTTATTAATCTTTACTCTAATCTTAATCAACTAATAAATGAAGCAGCAATTAGGTTACTCACTGTGAAGGTAGATGATTTGAAAGATGCTGATAGCGGCTGCAATCATCAGAAAATGATCCACATTGATCATGTCGCTGTTGGTTCAGTTGCAGGTGGAGCTCTGCTACCTTCTGCTTCAGTCTAGCAACATCAGCTTCAGCAAGTGCAATCTCCTCTAGCTCTGCCCTTGTCTTCAGATAATGTGTATAATTAAGATTCTGATACAAGCAATCAAATATATTCTACAAAAATGGAACACACAGAAGATATAGAGACCTGCGTATCCATGTTACGAGAGCTTGAGAACTGCCCAGATGATATGCTTAACCCAACCTCCAGAGCAGCCCTAAGATCTCTTTCAGCTTGTAATTGCTCTTGCAGTCTTGAAACCTATAGGAATTCGCAACTAAATGATAAGAATATTGATGTGACAAGCATACTGTTGCCTAACTAACAAAATTAATTTATTAACTATAATCCAACAGAACATGCCAATAATCAACAAATTAAAAGGAAAAAAGAAAGCCCAAATACTTGGTGGCGCTAGCAATATGTGCTTTAAGGTAAGTTGTACGCAAATATGACTTCTTCTTACAGTAACTTATAGCAAACAAAACGTATGTCAAGAGGCACAGTGGAGCATGCACTGCTTCATGTTCTTCAATATCGATAATGAATAAGCACAACTGCTTCTCCAGCTCCCCACATCAATGAGCAAATGCATCTGAAAAACAGATTAACACCACAAAAAGACAAAGAACCATGTTCCTCGAGCAACGAGGGGTCGTAGATCCCTTCCTAACCAACCATTCCTACCTAGGGTGGCATTTAATGTCCCTTCAATGTGTCACCTAGAGCCCGATGACCCCATCATGTCATTAATTTGAATTGTAAACACTTCTCAGTAAAAGAGAATTATTATGACAAAAGAGCAGTAAGGAGTGGATAACCATCTTGTGAGAAACCCGACAGTTTGTGTTGAACATCTTCAGGTTATCCAAAAAGTATCATCCAGCAAAAAGAATGATTTTGATTCTTGAAATTTCTAGAGACCATGCAATTTAAAGACCATTAAAGGATAAACTATAACCTGGCAGTGCAATGTTTTAATTGAACCGACAATTGTTCATGTTCAGAGTACAAAACATCATATAGACTTTAAGCTTGCTTATAACACCAATCGTGAACCATGGAGATATATTCTATAAAGCCAAGATCAATATCCTAACCAGAGAGGCCATACATGATCAAGACATTTGAGCAAGTAAAACAACAAAATGCACAATTTTGCATAAAATATACACGAGACAAATTGGATACTGGAATTCACTTCGCTCCGGAAGTACTAGATAAAGATGTTACATCCATTTTGGGTTTGCCTTTCATTTGTTTACAACTAAAATAACTGAACAACAAATGAGACGAAAAAATTGATACTAGCAGAAACTGAGGTTGCAATTTTATCAACCAGGCATGTAACAATTAACAGTTCAAAGAAGTGGCTAGCAGCATTAACATGATATCACGACTAATGAAAATAAATCAATAGGACTTGTGTCCTGTACATCTGACAAAGAAATTCAGATCCGTCAAGTTTATAGCGTGACAAAATATTTCATGCTCAACAACAGAATCTCAGTTTTTTGCACAAAAAACACAGAATCGGTCATAATTTTTTTATGATGACAACAAGACAGGAAATTAAATTCTAATTGGAACTGTGTTTGCAGCAGTTATTATTATAGTATTTATTGTTGTTCATCCATTTATTTGTGTATATGGGTGTTCAATCAAGTAAAACAAAATGCATGATATTAAAGAGCCTTCCATAGTTGTCAAGGAGGAATATTTACATCTTGCTCTAATGCTAAACGTCGTTCATGCAAAGCCTGCTTTCTTCTCTCCAAACTTGCTTGCAGAATAGCATTTCCTTTTGCCTGAGAGTATGCAACTATCTCAGTAAGCGTAAAGACTAATTATGCAGTAGCAAAATACATAATTTCTAAGACAGTTTCATGTCCATACCTCTTTTGCAATTCGCATCCGGAGGTCATTCTTTGTGATCTCAAGTCTTTGGATAGCCAGCCTAAATTAAAACATTTTATAATAATTTATAGCTTTCTCACTACCAAAGATTTTATACATATAACTTAACTAATTTTTTAATGATATCATAGCAAGCAGTCAACAAGCTCAGGAACTCAACCCACTATAAAGTTGTCAAAACTAAACAGTGAAAATATAATCATCCTAGAGTTAATAAGATCTACAAAATACGGCCAATGAGCTCAGGAACCAAACCTACTATGAAGTTGCCAAAACTAAACATAAAAACCTATAATCTTCCTAGAGTTCAGAGAGAGAGAGAGACTAAACATAAAAACCTATAATCTTCCTAGAGTTCAGAGAGAGAGAGAGACTAAACATAAAAACCTATAATCTTCCTAGAGTTCAGAGAGAGAGAGAGACTAAACATAAAAACCTATAATCTTCCTAGAGTTCAGAGAGAGAGAGAGACTAAACATAAAAACCTATAATCTTCCTAGAGTTCAGAGAGAGAGAGAGACTAAACATAAAAACCTATAATCTTCCTAGAGTTCAGAGAGAGAGAGAGACTAAACATAAAAACCTATAATCTTCCTAGAGTTCAGAGAGAGAGAGAGACTAAACATAAAAACCTATAATCTTCCTAGAGTTCAGAGAGAGAGAGAGACTAAACATAAAAACCTATAATCTTCCTAGAGTTCAGAGAGAGAGAGAGACTAAACATAAAAACCTATAATCTTCCTAGAGTTCAGAGAGAGAGAGAGACTAAACATAAAAACCTATAATCTTCCTAGAGTTCAGAGAGAGAGAGAGACTAAACATAAAAACCTATAATCTTCCTAGAGTTCAGAGAGAGAGAGAGACTAAACATAAAAACCTATAATCTTCCAGCAGATTGCATCATCTGAACTCTCAATGGTAACAGTTGAACAAGCTTTCAGAAAATTTCAAGCCGTGAAAGATACAATTAGAATGAATTACATCGAAGAATGTTCCCGTAAGGTTACAGTATCCACCTAAAAGAAATTCCTCTGGTTTTCATAAAAAAAGACCACAAATCTAATCTACGCTTTTCAAGAAGGGGAAGAAGGATAAAAATGGACATTATGTTTTCATTTTGACTTCCAATGATATATTACATTTACTAAGCTGCATAGATAATAGATGAATTTGATAAGGTGGTATGTCTCCTACAGCTTTCGAGTATGTAGCAGCATAAATGTTCACTAAACCATGATGTTTGATAAATAGCGTTTGACGAAGCTAAACAGCCAGCATTCTTATACTAAATGCAGTGTGATTAAGAGGTCTGTATTGCATAATGTCAAGCTCGGAAATGACACAAAATTTTTAATTTAATCCTAGTGTTTATCTTTAGCATTTCTTATTACATCTGAAGTGCAATGCTTTAATTAACCCCACCAAAAGGGTACAGTTTCATAATTACAGGATACTATTGTTTATCAACCAGATCATTTAACGAGTGGTTTTGAAATATCAATGCAAAAGTAATGTTATTGACTATGATTATCTAACAGTTCAAGTAAAATTGATGTAGCTAAGCATTCAAAATATCGCTTTTGGGTGGAAACTATGGCATCAGACTGTATCGTTTTAAAAATTTTTAATTCATTCTCAAGCAGGATATGAAAGATTATCCTTCAATTAGCAGAAGAGGAAATAGATCATCAAACAGAGTATTCAAAGGCTACAAATTGTTTACTGCATCTTGCTTCTCACCAGCGCTTCAGGATTTAGAAGGCCTTGGATTCAAACCTCGTTATTCTCAATCTAAATTTGTCTGCATAAACATTTGTTCTTTGTTTCCAAGCGAGTTCACCTAGGGGCCTTTTAACATGGATCAAAGCTTAGATAAGGAAGAGCTGTTTAAACTATCAAGTAAGCTTGATATGCATTGCTACATTTCAAACCCAATAGCTTAAGCTGTGGGATACATTTCCTAGCATGTACTTACTTTGGTCGGGAGTGAAGCATCCTAAACCATAGATCTAAACAACCTACATGTTCATTGTGCATGTGTGGTCGATACATGGTGAAGGAAGTAAGAATATAGCTAACTCTGCTTTTAAATGCATTAAATAATATATAACGACTTTATGGAGTGGACTCTTAGTAGCTACTGTATATGTATGCTTATGTACGCATATATCTCTCCAGATGATAAACCATGCTTCTCATAAGTAATAAATGAAAACCCTAAAGATGCCTGCTTAATTATAGAAGCCTGTAATCTTCTCCCCAAAAAAAAGTATAGAAGCTTGTAGCATTTTTGATACATTTTATTAGCTTCTGGGAGGAATCAGGCCATTTACAACCTTTTGGACTGTCAATATCCATCAGAAGAGAGTTATATAGTGACGTACATAGAGTTCCATTATCGGTGGTCTCTTAAGCCTTGAAGGAGTAATAAGCGATGTATATTCATTGTGGGGACAGCATCTGCTTTGGAATAAGTCAATATATCCATATAAAACAGATATCAGATTCTTATCAAACCTAGTACACCATTCGTTAAGATAATAGTTGAAAGTAATTTCGCAATATGTTAGATTGTGGAATTTTTTTCACCATGACCATATTAAACTACAGGATGATCCATGGAATCATAGAAACAGAAGTGAGCAAGGCAGATACAATACAGAACTGCATGTCCATGAATCTAGGAATTAAAGACGACTTCAGTAACGAAAACATTTGAGACAATTTATAAAGAACTTACTCCTCTTCCCCAGATGAGTCAACTGATTCCACTGAACGATTCTTTTTAGCCTAAGAAGTTAAAAAATGTATCAGGAAGGCAGCAGTCAAGTAGTTATCTAATGCAAACAATTTCCATTTCTTATCGTGCCTAAACTGAATAATATTTTCTTTTGCAAAGGAGAAAAATGCATAAAAATATTCCAAGATTAATAAAAAAATATCAAAATAATTGAAATCCTATTTACAATTAGCACCAGACATAAGTCTTTGACAATCAACGTAAATCAGTGACAGAAAATATAAACTCAAGAGAAAGAAACATAGCTGTTTTTTCAAACGCGAAAATAAAAGAACATATAACTTTTCAACAAAATCACCCCACAAACAAGAAAGCAAAGAGTTAAAAAGAAATGAATTGCATTTTATATAAGATTAAATTTAACGGTTGCACAAGGAATGGATCACAAGAAACTCACACTGTTGCGCCCCCAAAAATTGCTTCGCTTCACATAGCTATTTGATCCATTAACTTTATTTGGATTTTTCTCAACACAGTATTCGTTTATGTTAGCTGGAAAAGGAATTCCAGTATCCAAGGAAGATAAGATCTCTCCCATTGATAGGGTAGACTCATGCACAGGTAATGCACTAGGAGCATCCTTGTCAACCAACGAGTTCTCGTGATTTGCATTGGGCAAACCATTTCCACTATACTGAGCTTGGGAATCTTGATTTGATTCAATATTTTTTGCTAAAGCTTGAATATCTTTAGGAGAGTCAGTATCTGAATCAGCAGAGACCTGCAATTAGGAATTACATCAGTACATATTAACAAAACAAGAGCAAACAGACCAGCCAAAAGATGACAAATAGCTTGATCCCTAATGGAAAACATGGCAGGACATTGTCATAAAAATTACATGTTCTTGATAGCTGGCAAATACATATGACCATTTGAACAGTATCACAAACAAATGCACACAACTTTCTATTATTCTGCATAGTAACTGAAACAGCAAAAGTGAAAGTACCAAAAATCTAATAAGCAATTTTAGAAAGACACATATGGAGTTATCTCATAAAACCACTCCATATACGGAATGTGTATGAATTAGCATTGTATCGATTATCGAGATGTTATTAAGAATAGTGATGTCTTTGCCAACCTGAAGATGAAAACATTTTCTATTGCCTATAGATGTAATAAATTTCAGAAAAAAAAATAACGCTCAATGTTTGAAAAAATAAAAAAGAATTGGAGTAAATAAGGGCATTAAGCATTTAACAACATTGAAATCACGCATGTAACATGCTACAACAACAATCCTACACATTAAAGGTCAAGTATTCTCAAAGATTCATGGAAGGGATGATGAAAACTAACACAAGAAAACATAAGGTTCATATTTAATATACAAAATGTGAATGGAAAAGAAGAATAGTAAATAATCGATGGGAGATGAGAAATGAAGACCTTATAATCATAAAGATCACTGCCAGCATATCCACTGCTTTCACTCAGTTTTCCACTAAGTACACGATCTCGATCATCACTCATATCCAGATCTATTTCGTTCTCTAGATCAAGATAGCCATTACCATTGGCATCTAATTTGTCATCATCTGTTGATTCTTCACTACCACTCTCATCGATTTGAGAATCAGGTGAAAAAGAGCATCTATGTAGAGTATCATCCTGCGAAGAGAAAGCTTAAGGAATGAACGAAAACACATAGTAAGTTGAAAAAGCAGTTTCCTCAGAACATCACAGGAATCAAGTAATAAAGTTAAAGACCATATGGATATCAGAATTAGAAGATGGTAAGCATGGAACAACGACCAGTAAGCATGAAAGAATACCAACAGCAACAACTTTTAAACTACTCACAAATCTTTTTCAGATAAGTCATGCAAGCCATCAAACATAGAGTAGCAGGCGATCCCTTTCCCATAGGTACAGTGAATGGGAGAAATTTTTAAGACTGAAAGTGTAAGCGGCACCAAGCCATCCCCATACCCCAGAAAATACTTGACAATTTTTTTCCAATAAAAAAACATTGAGAAACTTAATATGATTTCTTTTACAGCAATCACATAAGGATTCGGAAAACCTGACAACCTTATAACCTCGCATCTAATTCAAATTTTGTAGATCACTTTTTTTAGCCAAATAAGCTGATACGTAGACCTTCTCGATGTGTCATCCTGATTAGTTCTTGTTTTGAATTCTAACGATCATGAGGTCAAATCACATCTTTGATAAATATTGAAAGGAATAATTTAGATGACATTATTTAGTAAACTGTTGAACAGTGAACACAATACATAATTTGCTTTACACAAAGCATTTAGGAAAAAAGAACCATAATGTTAAGTCAAGTTTTCACAACTGTTGATTGTTCTGTAGCTAGATAGCTAAGTAATTCATTTTTATTAGAATGCACCATGCTGAATTGACTTCAATCTACTCCCACAGTTCACAAATTACAGAAAAATAAGAGAACAAAAAAGGAAAGGAACTGAAATTCTGTAAAATTTCTATTGAAGTTTCAAATATCCTTATGAACCAGCAATCACAACAAAACTAAACTGATTGATAAAACGTTAGTATAAATATCAGAGATCAACTCCTCTCTAGAGTTTTCGTTGGAAAGAAACCAAGACTATGTTTATATTAGACATTCAAAAGCCTAAAAAGAATTGCAAGAAAGTCTATATTCTTTTTATCTAAGACGAAGATTACGTTAAATGTTTTTTAGGTCCAATTGATTAATTGATATGGATATAAATTACTATCACTTACCAGAATGTAACAAAGCATTGGTGTATATCTATCAGCTTTTATCTAGAGAATATGCCATGTGATAGATAGTTAATAGGAAAAATACTAGTTAACATGGATACATACTGAAATGACGAACATTATTGATAGCTAACCAATAACAATACAATTTAAATCTTCAAACCGGTCCACTTTTCTATAGTAAATTTGAGAACATGTCATTTGTCCTAATCAATGTTTTAAAAAACAGGTGTCTAGCCCACCTAGGCTCATGCCTAGGCCTAGGCAGTACCTAGGCCTCCCGCCTAGGTCTTGGGAGCGCCTAGGGGAGCATGGACCACTTAAACGGACTACACTGCTCAGGTCTTGGTCGTGATTTCCTACGTTGTTGCCTCCACGTCCTCTAACCTCCTCTGGCCTCCTCCACCTCCTCCACTGATTATGAACACCTCCTCCAATTCCTTTGACCTTCAGTAATACCTCCTCTGCCACCACTTAAAAAAATCCTCCTGGGCCCCACCCCGGTGTGAGGCGCCAGTTTGGCACCTATTGGTGCCTAGCCCTTTCTATAACATTGACTGTAATTAAAAAATAAGAAAAAGAAAAACGCCTAGGAGCGTAGTTCAGCACCTAGTCCGCCTGGCGCTTTTTGTAACCTTGGCCCTAATAAGAGAAAATATCTGCCATGACTCAAATTTAGTTCAACATGTCCAAAGTCCTAAAGAGAGAATATGCTTTCCATATTTTAAATGAAGTTCAACCTACCATGTCAGAAAAGAAGCTCCATATGTAGAACTGTTCTATTTATTAAACATACACGTAAAACATAAACAGCTATAGTGCCAGTAGTAAGAATCTTACATCAAATATATTCTCATACTCTTCTAAGAGAGTTGTGACGATGGCCTGAGCATTATTGGCAGCATTTGCAGCAGCCATAAGCTGAGCAGAGCTATCATCGGTCATGTCAAAATCATCCTCAAGCTCACATTCACCAGCCAACAATGGTCGTAGTAATAAGGGTGCCATACATGCAGCAACAGCAGATGCTGTCATCCGATTTTCAGCAGTATGTGCAGCAATGGTGTGCATCATTTTCAATATCCTGAGGTTGTAACAATGAAGTGAGAGGCAGAAAATAACACTATAACTTACAAAAAAACCAAGCATATTAAAAAAATTGCAGTAACCAACAAATAGCTATTGATGAACTTCAAATTGTCATCTATTCTCAAATAAATTCAACCCAAAAACCGCATATCTGCAGGGTATCTGAAGATAAGCTTATAAAAGAAATCAGAAAACATCTTGTTTATTTGAGGACAGGCAAAACAACTCATGGATCTTTTGTTTATGATTCTTAAAGTCAAAGCCATACCACTAAGGGGTTCACGCGGGAGAAAGAAACGAACACCAAAAGAATGGAGAAATTCTGATGTCTTAGATAACATAAATAAAAAGAATATTCAACCATTGAGGAACATAATACCCTTACAAAAAGACCCATTTCCAGTGACACGTAAAAAATCATGTCAACTAGCACGTCAGAAATCTTTGAAGCATTATTAACTCAATACGTATATCACACTAGTTAGATCATTAGCATACTGAAGACCAAAATTAAGCAGTCATTGGTAAATGGACACACCACTGGCCATATTGAAAACAGGTATTATGCATACATTTTCATTCAACATATTTGCAGGATACATCTGAATAAGCCATATACGAAATCAGTACAAATTATTATCCGACTAACATGTAGCAAGGGAAACATTAAATTCTCAAACCCCACATTTCCAATAGCTTGATAGGAAAGAGGGGCCAAATAGCTGAATCTAGTTCTAACAAAACTGTCACCAGGCAAGCAAATTTGCAACAATACAGGAGTATATGCTTCCTCTCATTGTGTTTTTAGAGATGATAGCTGCTACAGCTTTTGTCTTAGGTGCCAAAAACAACTTTGAGTGGTGCAGGCAACAAGTTCCCAAGTACTAGAGCTATAGGTGCTGAGCCTGCTGTCATGAATAGAGAACTTAGTATCTGCATAACTTTACCTTATTTATTTATCTTTTTCTACTAGATATATGATTTATTGAGAAGTTGCATATCCATAGTATATGAGAGCATTTGGAAGGCTGCAATATTTTCAGCTCCCAACTCATGGTGTTTTAAAGTTGACAGCTGCTATAGCTTTTCCCTTGGATGCTAAAAACAGTATTTAGGAGTGCAGGCAGCAAGTTCCTGAATACTAGAGCTACAGGTGGAGTCTGCTGACATGCATATAGGATCTAGTATCTGTATTGCATTAGCTTATTTATTTATTATCTTTGTCCTCCAAAAAATATGATTTATTTAGAAGTTGCATACCTAATAATATATAGAAGGCGCATTTGGAAGGGAGCAAGATTTTTCAACGTACAGGTAGTTTGCAATCATTAACAGAAGTGTTTTTCCAACTGCACAACAATATAGTGTTTTAACCCAATTCCATAGATTTGGATGTACAAGGCCTTTTTGATCGATTTAGCCTATCAAGTGTCATTTAATTAACTAAATCAAGATTCATTCTGATAATCACATATGTTTGATAATTGAGTTTTTTTGTGATCAGGCGCCAAGTAGATATGTAAGGGAACCCACAAGAGTGCATCAGATCTATCTACGTGTATTTATCCCCTTTTAATAACACATCACATACTGGCATATTGAGACAATAACATCACTAAAATGAGGTATCATTAGACCAAGAAAGAAGCGGGACGAAAAAAATTATCTTCTACCGCAAAGAAATTTAGGTTTCACAAACGACCAGGTAGTTGATTACTACTCAAAGAAACATCAAGTAGATACCACACACATCCACACATAAAATCATCTTCATTAAAAATCCCAAACTTAATTATTAATTAGATACATAAAGCTTGTAAGGAAGCTTCAATAGTATCTTCATTAAAAATCCCAAACTTAATTATTAATTAGATACATAAAGCTTGTAAGGAAGCTTCAATAGTAGATACCAGGTAGTTGATTACTACTCAAAGAAACATCAAGTAGATACCACACACATCCACACATAAAATCATCTTCATTAAAAATCCCAAACTTAATTATTAATTAGATACATAAAGCTTGTAAGGAAGCTTCAATAGTGTTATCCACCATATAGTGGGAAAAGGCCAAGCTTGGCAGAAGTAATCAGGTTTGAACACTGGACCACATGCTAAATGCTACAGAATTACCCTCATGGTACCATGGCACTCACGTTACTCATTACCAGTTGAACTGAATAGGGAAAAAATGGACAAAAAAGGAAAATGACATGGTCATTAGTCAATATCATAAAGGTGTTAATAGAGGCTTCAGTGTTTGAAAAGGCAATGCTAAGTCTGGATTCGATACCTTTGAAATATCCTCCTATATTACTTAAATGCTGCATTTTACTGCATTTATAGAAACCAAAGGAAGAAACCTCGAAATAGACATACGGTTCATTCATACAATTATTGAAACAAAGAGAAAAGATAAGCAGGGATCTCAGTCCCATTTAACCGCATGACATTTCTCAAGCAGAACTATATCCCATAGGTGCAGCTCAGTTCTATAAAGATGGATTCTGAATTAGATATCGAAACAATAGTTACAATCAACGGTATCACCATGGATTCTGAATTATCCTGCTGATTTTGCTAACCTTTTGCTCATACATTTTCAGTGAATGGACATCTACCTTAAATTCCTAATGAAGTGTTTAGCTTATCAGCTTGTTTTTGACACACATCATGCTTTGCACGATCACTTTGGTTTATCTTTCAATTTTTTAGTAAAACTTTACTGGAAGTCTCTAGACAGATAAATCTAGAAAAGCAGTAACAGAAGAAATATGATTATACTGTTAAACCAAGTTCAGTTATAAAAGCATGCAGCAAAAAATAATTTCAAGATTAGCATATATAAAATAGAAGGTTTGAAGTAAAAATTCATAGAGAAAGTAAAGAGATGATCCAGAAATATTAGAAAATAACCTCTGAAGTAAACGACGATTTGGTTCTGGAAATGTCTCAGTTATTGCAGACCGCATAGCATTCACACGAGCTTCCTTGTGTTCTAATCCTTAGCACAATACAAAAACAGCAAATAAATAACTCTAACTTCATACATGCATGAATGCTAAAGAAACTGAAAGGAACAATCAGTATCTTGGTAACTAGGACAAAGTCAGCACCATAAAAATTAACAGGATCAAAATTACAGAGAGCAGTAAAGCTCTATTTAGTCACTTATTTTAAAATACACATTGCAGTAAATTACAACAGAAAACATAGTACGAACAATATAAAGCAGCTACAGACTGTAGTAAGTTTGCAAAAAAGATGGTCAACACTAGAGTTATACCTAAACTAGCAGAAAAATAAATTTTTTAAAAAAATGGAAATATGCCATAATTTCAACAGGAAAGTAAGAAGATGCCTACATAAGTTCATCATCAGCAACCGAACTACAAAGTAGGACCCTAAGTTGAGAAGGATTTAAGAAGGATTGAAACGATTCTACAACTAGAAATCTAAGGTCGAAAATCTCAGAAGACCAGGGTAACTGGGCAGATCTACAACATTGCATAAGAAGTATGCATTACTAATCATGCAGTTTACAGTCATGCAACAAAAGAAACAACCCTCTAAAAGACTTATCAGTTAAGGAAGAAGCTAGGCAATGGACAGAACAGAAACTCTTGCAAAATATCAAGAAATTTTTGGACAGACAAACTGACCCAGACTTGCTTATTAAGTGGAAGAACAGAACAAGTCTGGAAAGAAGATGGATGCCATGAGTTCTGATACCTAAAAAATAGTATTCAATCTCATAGTCATAGCTTTGTTGGTTCACACCTAACTTTGATATCTCACTGTTAGAGGAGAACAAGCCAGGTGAACCTAGAAGTTCATTTTTATGGCTAGGGAAATTTCCACCCTTTGTTATGCAGTTGACCACATGCACTAGGGAACCTTTAAAAATTAACCAAAAAACAAGTCCCCTCGTTTTACCTAAGAGGCTAAGAGAAACCTAAATCTTACCATGACCTAGTCTCCTAGATATTATATAATAATATAACACAAATGTTGGATCAGGTCAGCCATAATTGAGAAGGTACTGACTCAACCAAGACCCGTATGTCACCCATGTGAAGCTTTTAGAAGACATGAATATAATAATTGCAAATCTCCATCAGTTATGTCACGAATCCTACAAAGGAAGCCATGTCAACCCCTTTTTCACACGATAGTGCTGAACATGTCTTTATCTTCTTTAAACGATATCCCAGCAAACTTCTGTGCCCTATCAATTATCTGTAGTAACCGGGTTTTAATTGAGGCACATAATTATCAAGGGATAACCAGCAGTGACCACTATCCCGAAGGCTGAAACCTTATCTACATCTATAAGGATTGACATTATGATATGTGTTCTAAACAAAAGGTGTCAATCCTCAGTAATAGGGGCCAGCGATTCAAATGGAACGCCCAGGTAAATTTGAGGCAAATCAATTAAGCAAGTAAACAGGACTTGAAGCCCTCAACCAAAGTCAAAACAATTCATATTAACCTGGAAGGGTTTTAGTCTTTACGTCTGATTTTATGCCCAATTCCATCTATCTCTAGGTACTACAGCTTCTTAACAACGTTTAGGTACTCCTCTTAAGACTAAATACATGGTCAAAGAAAGAAACTATTAGATATTAATGATATGGTATACAGCTATTAGATATTAATGATATGGTCTAAAGCTCTCTAAAATTCTTCCTTATAAGACGCAGGAAAGGTTATACACTAAATACAAACTTATGCGCAAATACATATTTAGAACCATTGCTGGTAATGTAGAAGTACATTACTTGGTTTTTGGAACTATCAATTTTCCAGACAGTAGATGTGTTTCAAGGTATTATGAATATCAAACAATATTAGATTTAAACAAACCACACACAACGTAGCGCCTCAAAACTTATCATAAGAAAATCATAAGCCTTTAGAAAAGATGTAAAATGGCCTACTATATGATTCCAGCAATGCGGTACAGCATGATGCAGGAACTGGAGATGATGGAAGCTCCCGAAGAACATGCTGCAAGGACAGGTTCTAGATGTCAGCATTCAGAAAAAGATAATATTTTCAGAAAAAGATGGGAGTGTTCAACTTCTCAAGATTATTTAGAAAATAAAAACCTTCACACAGTCACCAACAACATGGGCATCCTCGTCTGATGTGAATTCAGTCCTTCCTGGTGGAAATGGGGAAAATAACTTTCATTTTAAAGCAAATTTGCAGTTGAAAAACTCAAAAGCCTATTCTGTAAATGAAAATCCCTAGTTTGGAGAATTCAGGAGCTTGAGACTCCTCTGCACTATTCTTCCACAACCAATATCAGAAAAGAAAATGATAGTTTCTATAACCTTGCTCATATTCTTTCACTCTCCTGTCAACCTCCTCAACATCGGCAGACTGTCGCAAGATTCCTTCCACTTTTATTCCTGAGGCACATTGTTACTTCATTAGTTCAATTTCAAAAGCACACATTGAAACTCCAGAAAAGTGTTTCTTAATGATCAAACTTTTGGCATTTAACAAAGAGTACGGCAACTGTATATAGGGTGACTGAAAAAGGTAGGTACTACAACTTCAAAAACATCAGGAATCATAGAGTTGAACGTAATGTTAACTAGAAATTTGAGCCGCTTGGGCAAGGATGATACAACAAGGTAAGACATGCCATAAATTAAGCATTTCATTATCATCTGATGGGTCACTAAATTGAATCCACTATTCAGCAACCTAATGCCTAAAATATACAAAGCTGCATTAGACAATGATATTATCTCTAAGACACTTCAACACCTTTGTTCTCTACGATTAGATTTTATAGAACAGAATAAATCACAGAGAGAGTCCTCTGAACTACATAACTACAAAGAACATAAATTTTTCATTGCACGAGAAAAGTTAACATGGAGAGAAACTTTTTTTCTTATTTCACGTATGAGCTAGAATAGCTTGCACTTAAAAAAGAAAATGAAAAAGCACTCATTTTCTCCCTAATATTATTTCCAAGAGTTCTCAATGTCTCTGCGTAAAACATCTCTTCACTAGCTGCCTGCTGTTTGTGAGTACAGAAAACATAGCAGAAAAATAGAAGAACCATCTGAACTACAGAGGTGCAAAAGAAGTCACCTTTTGTCATGGCACCATAAGAATTAACATGGAGATAAAGAAAATTTTATCTCAGTTATGAACTACAGGAGCTTACACTTCAAAAAGAAACAGAAGGGTTTTGTTGTGTCCATAAAAATTTTCTCAAAGAGTTCTCAATTCCTCTGCATAAAACATCTTTCACTAGCTGCCTGCTGTTGAGTGCAAACAATACAGCAGAAAAACAGAATTTATGTAGCAAGTTTTCATTACTGTAAATAAGCAGACTTATCAGACATGTGCAAACATGTAATAGTATAAATAATTTTAATACAGGAACAGAATGGAGTTAATCCAGGCACTCAATATCTGGTATTTAGAGCTTTGGTAAGGGTTCGCAAAGTCCAAAATGAATGAAATCAACAAAGACAAGTGTTCAAGGCATTTAACAAATAATTAGGTGCTCTCAAGCAAAAAAATGTAAAGCAATTTAATTCGCCTAGTATTGAACTTAAGGTTTTTAGACTATTTAAGAGAATTATGTGCTGAGCTAGATAATGCATATGAATAATTTGGGTGTTACAACGTGTTAGTTATTCCTGAGGAAATAGGATAGAGACATAAACATAATTCCTATTCGTACCACAGTTTCATTGAGGACCTAAACTAACCCAGTAACCACAACCTCACAGCCCACTGCAGAGCAAATCACGATCCAGGTATGCAACCAAAGGAGTTTTATTAATCAAATCAATTTGTGAGAGAGATATGGTAGGCAAACAAGAAAACCAAAGATGTGGACAAGCGGGCATTGCACCTAGAGCTTACCATATTTCTCCAGAAAGCACAACGCCTTCTCTAGGAAGGAAGGTCCCCCATCAATATCTTCGAGTGCAAGCAATATTGGTCTACCAACAACTAAAGACTTGATGGGGCGCTTGTCTCTCCCTATAAAATGCAGAGGTAACAAATATAATCAAAGAAATTGGACATTACAAAAATAAGATGTTGCCAAAACTTTATGCTTGTTATAGACAAAATAATCTGCTACTTCTAAGGCACATACAAGTCTGGATGGATCCTTCAAATGTGTCAGCATTATCATTACGAAATATGCCATTGTGTCCCATCACAAGTGCAGCATTTGGAGCTTGTGCAAGCGCAAGTTCCAGTGCTGTTTTCCATTCAAATAAATCCTCTGATGTCTCCGCCTGATCCAGTCACATACAAGAAACATAAACAACAAAAAAGAATGCTACATAGAAGATTAAAGAGAAAAGAAACTAAAAGAAGATTGTTCTCCTCATGTAACTTAGCCAAATAGGGGGCAAGTTAGAAGAATGATGAAGCACCTTTAGGGTGAAAGCACGCCCATCACGTCCATCAGGAAATAGAACAGTCAACAACTTCTTATCTTCCCTAACCACCACGCTGCAAGTAACAATTGTAGAATCATCTATAACATATTCCATTAACATATAAAAGAAACAGATTAAGACACCTCTAACACTAGAACAGAGCATTTACCTCCCAGAATTATTTAAGTCAATGCCTCCAAGAGTCAGATTAACTTCACCACCTCTCTGTGGTAATGCACTCTACAGAATAATTAATTAAAGATCAGCAAGGGGAAACCAGAATAATTACACGATGGACAGCTGTGAACATGGACCAAAGCACAAGAAGTAGTTAAAATGGATTGGAAGCATCACTTAAAATAGCTTTCCTCGTTTTATGTAGATAAGCCTTTCTCTAAGCACAACTAAGGAAGCAAACTCTCCAATTGTTGGAAAACACATTACCGAAAACCCGAATCTTTTAACTATGTTTCTAATAGCGGTTTGTATAAGATCATGTGAAAAGAAATTATATTATTATTGTATTTTCCTCATCCCAAATCAGGTGTGAACATCTAACTTGATTTTATGTTGTTAATATAGTATTGATAGAATGAGAATCAGTGTTTGAGGATATTAAGAAAGCTTCATGGCAACAAGATAATTGCATAAATACTATATCAAACTCTTACTAACGTACATACCTACATAGTATTGTAGGCAAATTGGCTAAAAACAAGATAAATAGGTCACCACAATATTTACAAAATAAACATATTGAATGAAATGCTATTATTTTACATTCCATTTTCCGAATTTGAAAAACTATCTTCCCCAACGTCCCAATCACCTGTCTATACTTGTCTGAAATGAAATGTATGGTACACAACTATAGACAATAATTTCATAAAACAAATAAGTTTGCAAAATTATGGAGATGAAGATATTAGTGCCAAATAAGAAGGAAAGAACAATACTCACCGGATCATTTTTGAAGAAAACCAAAGACGTGCGAGTGAGGATGAACCAGCGCTTCTTCCATGATTTCCAACCAATTCCTAAAAAGCAGCAAGATGATCAGCATCAACGTCAATAGAGAAAGGCAAAAAAAACTCTACAAGCATGCTCCTTATTGCATAGTGAGTTAAGTTAGCATCGTCAGAGATATGAAGATAAAAGAAAAACATGAAGTCCACTTTACTAAATCCAAAGTAACATGAACAACTAAAGTTTTTCCCTTTTTACGGATGAATATACAACTAAAAATAGAATTGTAAGAACTAATGTTGATGAGATGTTAGTCATAATATATACTTCAATCTGAAAAAGAAGTGTACAAAAACATTATGAACTGTCCAACAAGATATACAAGATTCAAAAAGGTGAATTCGCCAAAAGGTGGAATAAGACTAACTGACTAGGCCTTCTAAAATACCTAATTTACCTGTCCCAACTCAAAAGAACAAATCCTGGATAAGACAGAAAACATATTGAAAAGGAATGATAGTGACCGAATGCATGTCCTGGACAACTCTGCTATTTGTACCAAGTTAAACTATAAGTCGTTAAGCTTGTGAGTACAAACAAAGTGAATACTAATCACACAATTATTCACCTAAATAAAATAACTCCAAATCATTAGCAATAAGCATCCAGTATAGTTACTAGTTAATAACTTCGAATCTGGTTCAATATCCATAGTTTGACCAATATGGGTATCCTATATTCATCTGTTTAAAATACAAATATAAATAGAGATAAAATTAAATAACTCCATGTACAGAAAAGATATCTTCAACTCATAACGTAAGATGAAAACCTATTTAGTATTGCATGATGTAATATTATCTTCAGTTCCTAATATGCCATTATATGACTTCTTACTTTAATGTACAATAGACTAATTTTGAAAATTAATCTCGTTCTTCTTTTAAGTACTATAGACTAATTTTGAAAGTTAAACTCGTTATTTCCAAATGCTAGTTACATTCATAATATTGGTCAGTATTCGTGCTCTATCTGAATATAAACTCGTTCCTATCAAATATGAATAACAAGTTACATACTCAAGCAGTATGTGTATCAGCTAAAAGAAAATAAACTAGATCCTCACCGACTTGCATTTAATAGGACAAATGGTCAGCATCAAAGTGAGCACTAATGTGTTGCGATGTTCTGCATATTCAAGAATCAGCTAATCTTTAGAAGCTAATGGAAGGACCAGTTGTCTGTACGAAGTCTAAATAACATTACATTCTTCCATGGTATGCATAATAGGTACTTTACCTGAAGATTCTCATAGCCTCTCTTTGAATTTTCAAAAACTTGGTCTCAAAAGCTTAGTCCTTGCACCATTATTTTTAAGGAAAACATAGAAGCCAATTAGATGGCTCCAATTTACTCCTAACAGTTAGTCCAAAGTTTAACATTTTATATATTTTTGGAAGTGTCATCATGAAGGTTTTCATGAAAATGTACATAAGCCATCTGTCAATTCTTTTAGTATTCAACTCACTAATTCACACAGCAGACAAATCTGGTTGTTCTGTTCATAAAAGCCTAATTGTGATTCAGCCTAATTGTGATTCAGCCATTATTTTTAAGGAAAACATAGAAGCCAATTAGATAGCTCCAATTTACTCCCAACAGTTAGTCCAAAGTTTAACATTTTAGATATTTTTGGAAGTGTCATCATGAAGGTTTTCATGAAAATGTACATAAGCCATCTGTCAGTTCTTTTAGTATACAACTCACTAATTCACACAGCAGACAAATCTGGTTGTTCTGTTCATAAAAGCCTAATTGTGATTCAGCCAAATTAGAAGTTCTCCACATAGTTACATGTATTCAACAATCTCTTAACCTTGTAGATCAGATTGGAAGACTGAAAAGCTTTTTCCTGTTATAACTAGGCTTGTTGATGAAGGCAACTTGCAGAATCTCGCTTGTTATGATTAAGATTAAGAAACGTAGTTAGGATTAAATAATACAGTTGGAATTTTACTTGATATTTTGGTTTAGATATTTAGTTAACTTATTTTATGTTTCATTAGTTGTGATTTGTTTTTAGGACTGAGATTTATTACTATTGTTATGTTTCTTTAAAATAGCATGTATTCTCTCTTTGAGAATGCTTTGATTAATGAAATTTTGAGTTGAGAAAATTAGTAAGCATGTGAATTGTTTTTTTCTCGTGGGCATGGGAAGCGCTTGAAATGTGATTTTCCCTTGCGTGTAAAGCCCTCTATTATATCCAGTGTTTTAAATGGCGGCCGACATGTCGGATATGTGGCCGACATGTCGGATATGTGGCCGACATGTCGGATTTAGGGGCCGACCAACACGATATTTGAGCTTTTCAATGTGTATTGCGTTTTTAGGGTTCATGTCGGATATATCGGGGGATATGTCGAATGTGTCGGGCGGATATGTAGGGTGATATGTCGGTTATGTCAGCCAATTTTTCAGTCTGAAAAATTGGTTAATTTTTTTATTTTTTTGGTTATGTTTGTCAAATCAGATTTGAGTTTAAATTCTTGATTGTCTTAATATTAATTCCAAAGACAAAAACCGATAAGTTAAGGAAAATGGAAAAAAAAGACCGAAGTAATATATGTCGCTCATCTTCTCTCTCCCCTTCGACATCTCATCAGTCTCTTCTCCAAGCTATTCCTTCGACATCAATATCGGACGATCTTCTCTCTTCTTAACCGCTAATATCAGAATTCTCACCTCTTTTCTTCAACATCAACCCTAAGCATAATAAGTTATTTACTCTTTTATATGTTTAGACAATAGAATTTTTTAAGTCTTATTTAGATTTTACTTATGATATTTATATTACACACATGCACACCATCCGATATAGCAATACGGTATTTTTTTTCATGTCTCCCGACATATCCCTGATTTCCGCTATCCGACATAAATTTTAGCCGTCCGACATGAACCCGACATCCGACATTTAAAACCTTGATTATCTCTATTTTTGTCTTGTTCAAAAAGCCCTCTACAATCTGTTTCTTTATTTTCATCATTCAACTACATTGCCTCAACAAGATACCCTTTTCAAAAGAATCCCCACCTTCCAAAAGCATCAAACCAAAGCCCCAGAGAAAAAAAACGCTAGAATCCCCAAATCGGATTTGAGGGATGAACAATATGTTGTATCATTCATATGCGAGAATAATAACTATTTTGTTGTTCATTGTGTAATTGCGTTATCATCTCAACATCCAGACCCCTCGTGCCTCTTCTGCCGATCTGTGACGATTGATGAACCCCTTCAACTGTCCAGATTCACCAAAGATCAAAGTTGTCTTGCCGTTCTGCGCCACGTGTCTATCTCATTGTATGAGCACTGTGTTTAAAACTAACATCTGTGATTGATTCTACAATAAGGGACAATGACATCAACTGATCACAGGAGCTATTGATATGAGGCCATCATCTTGACAAGCACCATTTATGTAAATGTTGTAGAATCAAGAACACTATATCTCTAAACACGCCCTAGTCACTGTAGCAAGCTTCTCATGTTTAGAGAGGGACCACATGGGATACATTGACTTCAGCGACTTGTTATCAGGATATTCTTAAGGTCAAAAAAAATAGATAGCAAAAATAATTTACTTGTAGAAAACAGCAATAGCAACTACACAATAATTTCATGATGCCATAACATAATTTAAAGCTAACCTTTGGAGGAAATGAAAAGTGGCCCACTCTTGAACACCTGTCGAGTAAGTAGGAAATTACATCATCATCATCAGTCTGAATATTCATCATTAGGACTGCTTTGAGAATAAAATTACTTTTAATGGAAAACTTGAAGTAATATAAAAAAATACAAATCAACAAGAAACCCGCATCAAAAGAACTTTTGTTCTCAAAGCGCGCATGCATGTGTGTGCTGCACACACACACATAAAAGACCTCATTACAACTACTCAAGCATGATATAGCACTATATAAGCCCAAGGAATTAAATGAGAAGCAACAGTAAATAATTTCAGATGCATAAGATAATAGATTAATACAATATTGCAATCCTTGACGAAAAAAATTTTGTGTATGAATTAATTAATACTCAACAAGGATGAGCAATATAGTTGCTACTTTGATAACCGCATCTAGACTCAGGCTTCCTCTACTCCAGAGTTCAATTCACTCTCATCATAGTTGGAAACATACAAAGGGGATTTTTCCTTGATAAATGATTGCTACTTAAGATGGGACGTCTAATGCCTAAGGGGTTGTGCTTTACGAAGTCAAATTCTCTCCTCGCCAAGAAAGGAAAAGAAAACGGATGAAAAAAATAAGAAAGGAAGAAAAAAGAAAGAAAGCATTAACACCATCAACTTAGATCTGTTTTGCAACACTCTTTGCAATGCAAGTTCCAATTGCATGCCACATCAAGCAATTCGTTGTTATACAATCTAAGATGGAAAAAAGTATTTGGCAGCAGCATATTTTTGGATATAGCTATCCAAATTACACTAAACCCCCAAGAACTTTCAGCGTTTTGCAGTGAACCTCAAATAACTTTCAAAGTTGCACTGAACCCCCAATAACTTTTGCATTTTGCAGAAAACCCCAATAAATTTCTGCATTTTGCAGATAACTCCCATAAATTAGAACCAAACCAACATAAAAAGGGCATTTTGAAAGTTATTTGGGATTTAGTGTAATTTACCCAAGAGATATTGGGGTCTTCTGCATATGTTATTGGGGATTAGTGAGATTCTGAAAGTTATTGGGGTTTACTACAAAATGCTGAAAGTTCTTGGCGGTTTAGTATAGTTTACCCTATAAAAAATATTGGGTGATTATTATGAAACCCCCTTCAGGCTTGACAACTTACACTAACAATAATTTATATTACAATACCCCTTGCTTTTTAGGAAAACTGTTAAGAGTCTTAAGACCCATTAAATTTCTACCTTATTCTCTAAACTACCCTTCAATAGTGCTTCTCTTCCTCCTCAAAATATTTCAAAAATCCATCTCACCTCTCCTCACATCAAACCAAGTAAGATGACCCATTGAAAAAGAGAGAATTAGAAGAAGATCAAGGTAATCTCTTCAAGCGCTTTGATTTTAGCCTTAATTTGGTGTAACCTCTAGTTTCTAGTTTGTGTTTTGTCTTGAAGAGAAAGGGAAAATATGTCAAAGAGGAAAAATAAAAGGATACTTTTGGAATAGATATGGATTTTAATAGTTTTTTTAAACAGCAGTAATTGCAATGGGAAAAAAATATTAGTGGTTTCTTAATAAGTGAGCGAACTTTTTTTTGGGTGTGTGTGTTTAGGGGGGGGGGGGGGGGGGGGATAGATTTCATAATAATTACCCAAAAATATAAAACATATTCCAAGTATACATAAAAGCTATTGGGTGGGTGGGTGTGTGTGTATTTATATGTAGGTACGTATATGTATATACTTATACTTGGCAGCCGAGCATATTTTCTAGATTTAGTTATTCAATATGATTCATACTAGCTAGGAAGAAAAGAAACATGGCCTCTACTTTTTTTATCACGCCAACATGGCCTCTACTTAAAAGCACTGTTTCGCATCTTTAGCAAATATAAACAAATATAAATCTATTGTTGCCAAATACACACAACAGCCAATTCAGGAAAGAAACTAATCATGCAACATTTTCTAGGAACTGACCGTCATACATCTTGTTGCGAATGCACTGCATCCCCTTAATGCTGCCTTCTACTTCCATGTACAAAGTATTTTTTTCATATTGCTCCCTAAAGATGCATTTTTTCCAACCAAATATTAAAGTTTACTCAATTTGCCAAGTATGACAGACTGTACTCTCTTAATTCAGCCTTTCAATGCAATTCACAAAGTAAAATACTTTTCCTATCCATTCATCCATCTCCAGACCAATGCTTCCAGGAATGTACTTTTTTCATATTGCTCCCTAAAGATGCATTTTTCCAACCAAATATTAAAGTTTATCCAATTTGCCAAGTATGACAGACTGTACTCTCTTAATTCAGCCTTTCAATGTAATTCAAATTAATACACAAAATAAAATACTTTTCCTATCCATTCAGCCATCTCCAGACCTATGCTTCCAGGAATGTAATCTCACTACAAAGCCATTCTTGCTACAACTCCACAATTACCAATTCAGTAAATTCGTCCTTCATGAAGCCTTCTTCTGCATGTATTTCCAATTATGGAGAATTATTTATTGCTGCTCTCTAATTCAAAAGGCGATGTACTTCTATTTCTTCTCTGATAAATATGATTGAAACCGTATCAACGCATATCAAGTTTGATTTGCTAGGTTTGAGCAAAAGGGCCATCTTCTGTAGACTAAACCCATATGTCAAAGGAACTCCACTAATGCGGTGGCATACATTTTTTTAAACCCGCTTTAAATTCACGGCCAGTGGGAATTGAACCTATGTTGCTCTTAATAACATGCCACTGCACCAAAACTCTGAAGTTGTTGTGAGGCTAAGCGTTACGCTTGTATATTCTAACACTATCAATGTGATTCAACTACATAGAGAAAGCTAAACAAGAGTCATTCATCTCAAACCACATTAAGCACTCATTAGCTAGATCTAACACGAGATACAACACAATGCACAGAGAAAAAAAACTTCACTTGCTATCCAAAACAGCAATCACAAGCATGAACACAACCCCTAGAAAAGCGTAAAGATTTTAAGAACGAAAGGGGGGAAAGAGGGCGCGCATACCGTGCTGGACGCCGCGGTCCGACGATGATGCTCAAACGGCGGGGCCGCAGCAGGAGCCGACGACATCTCGTCGCATCAGATCAGGATCAGCCACCACCAACCCCTCAATTCCTCAACAAAAACCTCCAGATTCGATCAAGATGCAATCTTTCTTCAAAATGCAAGATCGATCAAGCTAGGGTTTCGAAAAAGGGGAAAGGAAAGGAGGAGAAAAAGACACAGAGCACAGCTTGGCTGGAGAGCGAACGAGAGGGGATTAGGTGAACAGTGTAATGGTGGGATTAAAGTAAAATGGTAAAAAAAAATAAGAATTTATTGTTATTATCACAGCAGTAATTTAGCGGGGGTGGAGTAAATGCTGTAGTGAACCGTGGAGGAGAAGGCAGATGGCTAATCTGTGAGGCGGTCGATGACGTGGCAAGTCACGTGATGTTGTGGTGGGGTGAGAGTGCGGTCGAGAAATGGGGGGGTATATTTGTACTTTTGCTGCAGGGTGTAGTTTGTCGCTGACTGAAGAAGATGTGATGGGAGGGCCCCACGTACGCTTTTGGTTCCTTGCTGGTTCGCGTGTGTTGTCAGTGGATGAGGGATGAGGGATGAGGAAGAGGATTTGCATCCGCTACTTATGAATAGTATCTCCTAACATTTGCTAATGGATCTTTACTTTTTATTTTGTGAATAGTATCCACAAAATGAAAAATGAAGATGTATTAGCAATATCCATAAAATAAAAGGTGAAGATGCATTAGCAAATGTTAGGAGCCACTATTGATGAGTAGGATCCCAATCTTGAGGAAGGAGGACGGTAAAAACATGTAAATAACAGATTACAAATGCAGATAAAGATAAATTACGAGGAAGAATGATGGTAAATTACTAGGGGTGAAGTCATAATTTTACTTGGGGTAAGGTCACATATCACAATACCCGTAGGTACAATTAACTTAGTTACGCCTTATCAAAAGTAGGAAATACACATTTGTCCATTAATATCGTAGATCAAACTGCTTATCGTTATTTACAACCCATCAAATCCAAGTACATTGAAAATCACATGATTTGAAAGTTTCTAGTTTTTAATCCAAGCTAGACAAAAAAAATCGGTATATTAAAAAAAGTTTTTTTTCTAAATAATTAGCAAAATCGACCATTTTGCTAATTATTTAGTAAAATCGAGTTCTTTTTTATTAACATGACAAAAAGATGTCGATTTTAAAAAACAGTCTGATCGAAACATGAGGGACTAGTAGTCTTGTATGTTCTAAAACCCCAAACAAAACATACGGGACTAATAGTCTCGTATGTATTGTTTGTGCTAACATAAAAACCCTTCCCCGACTCTCTACTTCCCTCTCAAGAGAAAGTCAGCCCTTTTTTCCGCTGAAAAAAACCAAAGCAAAGATTAACTCTCCTCGCTCCTTCTCTCTCTAGAACTCATCGCCAGCCATCACCACTGTCATGGTCGCCGCATCCACCCGCCTCCATTTCTCCAGTGTCTCAAACACCTCAATCCCTAAATCTCACCCCTTTACCGCCATAAAAATCAAAAAAATTTCCTACCCACTGCGATCAGCAAACCCTAACCTCTCCCAATCCTTCTCCATTGACAACGAAGATAATAACAACAACTTCAGCGGCGGAGGGTTCGGCAAATGCGGCAGAGGAAGTGGCGGACACGATAGCGGGCCTGCGATTTCGAATGGATTGGTGGCAATGAAGTCTTGGATCTCGGGGGCTCGCCTCCAGGCGATGTGTCCTGTCGCCTTGGATCTCGTCGGCGGGGATGTACATGAAGTCCACCTGAGATTCGCGGTACGATGTGTCCTGTCGCCTTGGATCTCGTCGGCGGGGATGTACATGAAGTCCACCTGAGATTCGCGGTAGAGGAGGAGGACGGTAGAGTCGTAGTGGGAGAAGGCGGCGCAGTTGGGGTTAAGGATGGTGGAAGACTGGACGAAGGTGGTGGAGTTGAGGTGGACGGAGGTGACGCTGAGGGTTGGGTTGCGGGGGCGGAAGACGAGGAAGAGGACAAGGGAGGGAGAGAGAGCCGGGGAGGGTTTTTATGTTAGCACAAACAATACATACGGGAGTACTAGTCCCGTATGTTTTAAGCAGGTTGTTTTTAAAATCGATCTTTTTTGGCTGGTTGGCCAAAAAGATGTCGATTTTGCTAAATAATTAGCAAAATTATCGATTTAGCTAATTATTTAGCAAAAATGTATTTTTTTAAAAAAATCCCAAAAAATCTTATGGGAAACCGTTCATTTCTATGTTATGAGATGTATAAGGTAGAAATTTCAAACTCAATGTGATTTTTAAATCTACATGAATCATGAATGTATAGACCTTGGTGAACAGTTGGGAGCTACAACATTGATGAACAAATAAGTATTTCTTGCATGTGTTTAACTAAGAAAATTATAACCTATGTTTATTGTATTATGATATGATTCAAGAGCCAATGGTGCATAGGAGTGATCATGCTTGAATGGTGCATAACTACAAGAAGCTACATGCTGAAGGAATTGAAGTCTGTATATTGTTGGCCTTCTTGTTTTAATGATGTTTAACAAACAATTTACAACTAATGTTGTTTGTCTAGTGTTTGTGTTTTCGTATTTATTCTAGGCAAACAATGAGCTGGAGGATGGATGGAATCGAGCCTTAACGATCATATCAAATGGAGGTTGGCGGAAATGTGGAGTGAAGCAATGCTATTCAAAGTTCAAGATCCAAGTTTAGCTTCATCCGCAACGTGTACCAAGTCGAGCTTATTGAAGATCAAGATCTAGCTTGGGTAATCTAGTTTAGGTTTTGTATTATGTGTGTTAAGTACGTTAAGCTCAATATCTATACACACACATTTATTGGTTTCTTCGTATATATATATATATATATATATATATATGTTTTGTTTTCTATTATCAAATGGAGGTTGGCGGAATGTCGGGTTGAAGCCTTGCAATTCAAAGTTAAAGATCAAGTTCAAGCTTCATCCGCATGTGTACCAAGTTGAGCTACAATGAAGATCAAGATCAAGCTTGGGTAATCTAGTTTAGATTTTATATTATGTGTGTTAAGTACCTTAAGCTCAATATCATATACACACACGTATTTGGTTTCTATGTATATATATAGTTATATATATACATGCATGGTTTTAGGTTTTCATGTTTTGGACATACTTGCAAAATACATGAGTTTTCACAAATGGAAATTCAATTTGAGAAATTCTTTTTCTAACATGTTTGTTTTCATGTTTATAAACATTTCGTAAAGTTTCATCAAGTTTGGAATTGATTTGTTATGTTTAATGGAATTTACAAAATCATGTTTTTCGTTCGTGCATGTTCGTGCATGTTTTACAAAATAGATGAGTTTTCATAAATGGGAAGTGATATTCAAGAAATTCTTTCTTTGACATGTTTATATACATGTTTAGAAACTTCTCTCAAAATTTTACTATTTTTGGAGTTTATTTACTGTGCCTAATTGATTTTACAAAATCGTATATGTTAACAGTTTTTCAGAAACTGTAAATTTGTGTTCAAATATTTATTTCTCTCAACTGGGAAAAGTTTTTCAGAAATTCTTTCTCTGACATGTTATTCTATATGTCTAGAACATTCCCACTAAATTTCATAATTTTTGGAGTTCATTTACTATTTTAAATTGATTTTACAAAACAACTGCACACTGCTACAGTAACTCCGGTCGACCGGGCATGTCTCTGGACGCGGTTACTGTAGCATAACGGCTATATTTTCCAGATTTTGATATATCCATTTTTTTGTCTTTTTGCTTGGTTTTCTTGGGTTTTTGGGCTTGTTTCATGAGCCTATATATACTCCATGCCCTCATACTTCTAAGGGTACTCAAGAAATGTTTTAAACAAGTTTAAAGAGTTTTAAACAAGGGTTTAAGTGTGTTTTAGTGTTTGTTTGGTTTGAAGATTGTTTTCACAAGTGGAGGAGATCATCTTCTTGTTTGGGCTCCAATCTCCATCTCTCCATCTTGTCATCTATTGGAGAAGTTTTCTAAACTCTATCTAGCTTTACATTTGCTTAGTTATTTGATTATCATTCTTTAAAGCTAGTTTTTATATTGAGTTTAGTTGATTTGATTTTATCTCATTGTTACACACACCCACTTGAGCTTATTGTATTTGCATACATAGTATATTAGGGTTATGAGAGATTGTAACATTGAGTTGTGCTTAATTGAGTTTTCATCTATTGTAGAGAATAAATTTATATTTGTTATATTGTGAGTGTTGATTGTGAGTGGTGTAAGGTTTTCGGTGAGCTAGAAAACCGAGTGTGTTGTGAAGTTTTCGGTGAACTAGAAAACCGAGTGTGAGGAGTGAACGTTGTTCGGTGAGCGTTGAAAACCGACACTGTGAGGTGTAAACGTTATTCGGGTGAGCGTAGAAAACCCGGTTGTGATAGTGGATTTCTCCCCGGGAGTGGGGAGCGGAGACGTAGGACGGAAGGTCCGAACTCCGTGATCATATCTTGTGTTTGAGTGTGCTTTGGCGTTTATTTATACTTGTGTTTATATTTCTTGTCGCCATTGTCATTAGCTCATTATTTATATGATCCACTATCTAGTTCATATTGTTTACCCCTTGTGTTAGTTTTATATCCTTGCATATACATATATCATATTGATAGGATATATCATCTTGTGTTAGTTTATATATCCTTGCATATATATATATTCATCATATAGGATATATCTCATTGTTCATATTGCTTATCCTAGCTTATATAGTTGTTATATTTCATACTTGTTAGGATAACTTGTTAATTAGTTTTTATTGGCATATAATCGGATTAGATTAGCATAAGACACTAATCACCCCCCCCCTAGGGTCTAACAATTGGTATCAGAGCTTGGTGCTCTTTAATTTAAGGTCTAATCGCATTGAGTTAAAGATCCAAGTTAGCTTATTGTGCTAATCTAATTTTGAGCTTTATTTGTATCTTGCTTGCCTTTTATATTATGGATATGCATGGTTTAGGTTATGCCATTAATATTGCTCCTAGATTAGATAATTTCCCCTATGCCCAATGGTATGTTAGATTTAAACTTTTTGTTCAATCTAAACACTTTGATTTATGGGAAATTATAGATGATGCTTATATTGTGCCCACTTTGAAGAAATCCAAATGGAATAAGAATGATCATCGTATGTTTACAATGAACAATATTTTGTTAGAATATTTGCTAAATGCTTTTAATTCATCTATGTCTAATAAGTTTGTTCATTTTGATAGTGCTTACAAACTTTAGAAATTTATAGAAGCACATCAAGGGGACTTGGAGGCGATCCAACA